TATATATATATATATATATATATATATATATATATATATATATATATATGCGCAATTTTTATAATATTATAGCTCTGGAAAAGTAGTTGCAGCAACTCCTTTGCACTGATGCAAAGCAGCTGAATGAAAGGCTCTTGGGGGATGCGCTGGCAATTAGTTGCTGGGGGTTTAAGAGACAATTGCGAGACAATAAAATGGATGTTTGCCTACAAACCATTTTTACATTTAAAATTCATTCAGGCATATCATGAATCAATGCAAATACCATCTAAAGAAACATTGAGATATATGTATTTTGAATGTATACAAATATTGTCTAGTAAAGTATCACAATATTTGATGGATTAGAATATTTCCTACACCCCCATGTTCTAGATTTCAGTCCAATCTGTGATTCAATCTATTAAGGCACTAAATGGAAGCAACCATCCTCAAAAAAAAATTAAGAGCATTCATTAGAAAGCAGAAATGTAAAAGAAAGAAATCATCATCATCTGGCTAACAAACTTACATCAATAATATAATCAGTGAAAGGTTTGAGGCTGTCCGGCTCTTCGCTGGCCTTACAGAGCTCCCGTCTGTATTTAATCAGGAACAGAGCCAGCGTCTTCTCCTCTCTGGACACCTTCAGTCGGAGGTCCATCTTCTCCACGTCCACCGGGCTGTGAAACAGGGCAGCCAGGATGGTCATGGGTTTGGGGGAATCAGCTTTGGCGTTCTGCCACACCTGCTTCATCTCATCAACGTCACCATCTGGAGGCAAACCTGAGGCATAGCAGGAAAAGAAACAACGCTGACATTAATAGAAACTAAAACAGCTTTCCCAATGATAACCCGGGTTTAATAAAATCGGGTCAACAAGCTAACAATCGGCTTTTAGCGCTATTACCATTTGACCAAAAAGACGAGTCTGACCCCCTGCTGGCAAGCTGCGTGGACATTTGCCCTGCAGCTGGGTGTCTAATAACGCCATCACACTGGTGCGATGGAAATCAGGGGAGTAAATAATGGAGAGCAAAATGGACGGGGGCCAGAGTCTAGTCAGTGTTCTTTATTGTTTCACTATTTTTTCTGTCCGAATCTCTTACCAGTGCTGCACCATTTTTAATCGAAAACAGAGTTGTTTTGGTTTGTTAAATCAGAAGTGACTGGCGTGATGCATTGACGTGCGTACGTTGTATTTAATGGTTGCCCTTAGTACATGCCGATCTGAGCCGAGGCGATTTTAAAGCGGTTCACTTGCCAAGTCATGCCGGCATGGGTCAGTGAGACTATAAGCAGATTGTTCAAATTTTTTGGGTGGTGGTTTTTGGGCATTGGGAAAGGGGTTTAATAGAGGTGAATTTGATGGATGTTAGATTTGTAAAGTAAATCTAAAGAGCTATGTACAAAAATGTGAATTTACAAAATGGTTTAACTATATAAATATGTAAAATTAAACAATCGTTCATGGGGATCCTACACATTATCGCTGGTTATCCTCCCGCAGCAGTGTGTTGCAGTGACCTTGATGCAGATATTTTTGATTCATGCGCAATTTTGAAGCGTGGTCAAATGTTATGTTATGTTATTCCACGCCCCAACGCAAGTGGGACAATCACGAACTAGGTGTGGGTCTAAATACGTTCAAGACAGTGAGGAAGTGGGAGCTTTATGTGCAACAACATAGGGACATGAGGGTGAAAAAAAGAGTGGGGATCCAGGTGGAAAAATGGTCCCAGCGTTCTCACGCACCTCGCTCTTCCAGCTGGTCCATCTTCACGAGCCGTTTTCCGCCATGGCGGTCATACAAACAAAATAAGCCAGTAAGGTACCAAACAGGAAATACACATGGCGTAGAGCGGATATAGATTTGACCAATGAGAGGCCTCCTGTCTGCGGCACTGTCTTTGGTCACCTACAATTTTGGAGAAGTGCAGCAGAGTGTCTGCAGAATTTTTAAACAAAAGCTTTTTAAATGTTTTTTTTTTTTTTTTTGCAAAAAGCAGCTGGTTACTTATTTGATATCAACTCTTGTTTTAAAACGTATTTAATAGTAGAAATGAAAAATATGCTTTTAAAGTGCCTGTATGAAAACTTGCTCTCATATTAGTATTCAGTAAAGCCAATCTATCCACTGGTATGCCCCTCACCTATGTACTGAGCCAAGTCCAGATTATAGATGAGCTCCAGCAGATGAGCAGCATGGTCACCAACCACCATCTTCTTTAATTCCACCCAGATTCTCTCTCCTGATATAGCTGCCAGCCCTCTGCCATTTGTTCTAATGGCAGCCAGAGTCTCAGGATCATGCTCATTAGGCTTTAAAGCCACCCTTCCATAAAACCTGAAAGAAATTGACAGCTCTTAAAAAAAAAAAAAAAAAAAAAATCAAGACAAGTGATTACTGTCTGATGAAGGGAGGTAACCTACCTAAAATATCTCAATATTCTCAGATAGTCTTCCTTTATCCTCTGTTCAGCGCTGCCGACAAACCGGACTTTATGGTTCTGCAGGTCTTCATAGCCTTTGAAATGGTCATATAAAGTTCCATCAAGACCTGTGAGATGGAAAGTGAGGAATTTGAGAATGGATTTCAGATTAAAGAAAGATCCAATATTCATCAACAGTTATATTTAGTGAGTAAAACACATCTCTAAAGCACCTATTAGAGTCAAAAACACCTGTAAAACTTTGAACACATGAAGTTATGAGAAGTATGAAAACGACGAGGTGACATGTCTGCATTGCAGTGATCTAACCATAATGACTAATGCATGACTAATTTTCTTGATGTCGTTAAGAAAACAATTTTCATATTTTAGTAATGCTTCTTAGAATAACGACACACAAAGTTGGAACAGATCTATTGTGAGCCACCGTCTAGAAATGTGATTACCATTTTTTTTACTTTGGATTTGGTTGCTCAAAGAGACATCTACTGTCTAATTAATTCTATAATACTTGTGATGAGGAGCTGTAGATGTTATTACTGTCTTTGTCTTATTTGTATTTAAAACCAGAAAACTGCTATAGGGCCAGTTTCTGATCAGAGATAAGCTCTGGACATGGTGGATGGCCAGCTGGAGAAGTCTAAAATGTATATATGAATTTGGAAGTCTTCTGCCTAGATGTGAGGAGATATTAAGAAGCAACCAGAAAAAAAAAAAAAAAAAAGAATGTGTAAAGAAATTAAAGGGTCTAGAACTGACCCTTGTGGGACACTGCATGTTAAGAGGAGCAGAGTATAAAGAGAACATGTCAGATGAGGGGAATTACCTAGAAACATAGAGTTGATGGTGAGATCTCTCCGCTCAGCGTCTTTCTGCCAGTCGGTGGTGAACTCTACCTCTGCATGTCGTCCATCTGTCTGAACATCCACTCGTAGTGTGGTCACCTCAAAATTCTCATTGTGCAGCTGAGGACGAGAAAATGTAAGGCACTAAAGACACATCGTCATTAACACACAAAAGGCAACAGAACACTCAGACTTGATTTCTTCCAATAATTTAGTTAAAGTGGATCTCACAGATGTTTGATAAACAGACAGCAACATAATTTAACGGTTAATTCTTCTAATTTTTTAAATCATGACTTGCAATTATTGCAAACAAAACTTCAGTAACTGAGAAAAATATAACTCCTACTTAAACCAGTTATGAAAGGACACGTAATGCAGGTACATATGGACAAAATTGCTGACACCCCCATTAAACGAAAGAAAAAACCACAATGGTTATACAAAAACTTGAAACTGACAAAGTAATAATAAATTAAAACTATAAAAACCAACAAATGAAAGTCATACATTGACTTTCAAATATACATTAACAGAATTATTAAAAAACCAAACTCAAACATGTTCACAGATGAAAAAAATTACTCACTGGTAATGAAAAGCACTAGCTTAGTAAACTAGCCCCACCCGCCAGCGGTCAAAATCTTTTTTGCCTGCAAGTTTGGTCTAGAACTGACGGGCCAATCACAATGCAGAGATGTGTTTTGAATTTTTGGATGCAAAGCGGGCGGGGCTTTGAGGGCGTGATGACAAAGCTGCGCGACGCTGGAGTAAGCACAACAAGGAGGATGGCAAGAACTATTGAACAGTAGAATGCACTACGGCGGCAGCAGCTTTTAATGTAGCGCTCCATTGAAAGTTAAAAGTTCTATTTTCTGTTGCTGTTGTTCAATAAAAGTACATTTTAAGATCATTTGAGGCGAGGCTATTATACTTTAAAGCCATTTACAAATTTAATGAGTAATTAAAAAAATATTTCAGAAGTTGAGAGGACCGCGGCAACCAGCAGACCTCCGAGGGTAACGGCAGCCAGGGCTAACAGCAGCCCGTCTGCAGCGGCCCTCTCTCAGCATAGTCGTGTGTGAAGGACTGCTGGCTCTGATGGCGATTTTTGACTCAGCTTTGGAATCAGTTTTGGAAGGATTAGACTTTGGGTTTTCGTTGAAACTTGAGCAGGAACAGGCTCTACGCTCATTCATTTTTAACAAGGACAATTCGCCGTTTTACTGACAGGCTGTTTGTTTACACACCCCCACCAGCTTTCTGTCGTGCTTACTACACCACAGTCAGTTGCGCTCATTGGACAGAGCGTTGGCCAATAGGCACAGCCATGGTTTGAAAAACAACGGGTTGTTCTCAACAATCTTCTGATGTCTCATTCATCGGGGCCAGACTAAATTACACACTTAATCTCACCTTTAGTCTAGTTTATCAGGCTAGAAAAGCACTTCATCTATCCATCCTAGTTGTATTAAACCAAGTAATTTTAAAAGAATGCCATCCCACTCTATTTTACTGGAAAATTATCAAGTATTGCTGCTTTTACTTGAGTCAAATTTATAGCAATGATATCCACAGGAAGTGTCGTTGCTGAAGAAAGAGCAAACCTTCTGTCCAAGTGGAGTCCTTTCATTAAAATATAGCACTAAAGGACTTGGACCTCCATGGGGCCAGTGTGTCCAATCTACCTTACACTTTAGCTCTATCTCTGCAAAAGATGTGTACTACAGCAAGCTGGGCATCCTCTTGCATGTTTAAATTTTATATCAATTGCACTGTGTGTGCAAAGTATGATCTGCTTTGCAATACACATGTTGGAATATTTTTGGTTCCAACATAAGACACAAAACAAATGTTATGAAAGAGAACTTAATTTCGTAACTCTGGTTCTCTTATAAGAAGAGTCTCACCAAGTCAACCCTCTGTACTCTGGGAGGAAAAAGAAAGCGTATTTGAAAATACTGTTGCAGTGACAGCTCTTTAAGTAGAAGGAGGAATCCTGCCCTGGCTGACCAGGCAGATGTATTTTTGAGCATATCCTGGCAGGCATAAAGTAATAAAGGCTGCTGATATTTCACGGAGAGACTCATGTTAGTTGTAGTCTATATCTAAAGAACTTCAGATCTTATAGTAGTTTCTCTGCCAGATGTCATTCATCCAAAACATCTGACTATGCAGCATTCCTTTCGTTAATGTATCCAGCAGAAACAAAGCATTTTCGTTTTGCTTCTTAAACAAATAAGAATTATTTATCTGTAACCCTTTAGCAGCAGGAATTAGATTAATGCAGACTGATAAGGAGTGGAATCCCAAAAAAAAAAAAAAACCAGTTTATTGCCTATTTAATGCCCCTGTTAGGGGCTCTCAAGGCAAACAGGCCCTGAACGATGGTTCAGGCAAACGGTGTTCGTGATCAGGTTCCTCCTTAAGAGACCCGGCTGGGCCAAGCCTGAAGGAGTGACGTGAGGCCATCCCTCAGCGGGCCCCAACACCTGCAGGGGGAACCATGAAGGACTGTTGGCAAGAGGATTGGGCAGCAGTCAGAGGTGGAGGGGAAAGAGCTTGTGTGGGATGTGGGACTATACTGGCTAGAAAAAGTCAGGATATCCTCTACACATAGCCCAGACGCCTTTCTGCTCTTGAATGGCCTGCAAGGAGAGTAGGTAGGCTGGGGTGTGCTAGTCTTATCCCAGCTCAGCCATTGTGTTTTGGAATTCGGGGGGAGCTCTAACTGCGTGTTCAGACTATGGGCCAAACAAGTAACGGAGGTGGTCAAAAATCTCCACGATGGCAATGCTTTGTTGGTGGATGAGCACCTTAGACCTTAGGATATTGCCAGGCTGTCATGGAGGTCAGGGACAGTGCCCTTGGATTGGCAGTCTGGGGTGGCAGTTCCACTTCATAAGAAGTTTCCCACTTCAATTATAGATGGATCAGATTTCTCAGCCTCCCTGGGAAGGGCAATGTCAGGGTACTGGAGAGAAGAGACTGGCTGATTGTTGAACCCTGTCCTCAGGGGGAGTTTGCCCAACCAGGCCACATGTGTTTAGTGGACCTGAACAAAACACTCAACCCCGTCTCTTGTGGTTCCCTGTGGGGGGCGCTTCAGGAGTACAAGATCAGGGCCCTCTACTAGAAACCATCTGCTTTCTATACAAGCAGAGCAGGAGTCTGGTCAATCTTGCTGGGAAGTTGGACCTGTTCCGTGCATGTTGGACTCCGCATGGTGGATGAACACTAGCTTAGAGATGGGTGAGGAGCAGACAAAGCATAACACGACGAGTACGAGTATCACTATTAATATTAAGATATTCAGTGTGAGACACTCAAGTGACATAGCTCTTAACCACAATCTAAAGAAACTTTCAAATCTTCAACAAAAATATATAAATTCTTAATATTATTGATCACAAAGCACCAATTTGCTGTTGAAGACGTTATCATCTTACTCGTGCGGTAATGGTCCCATGCTTCTCCCCTTTATTGTTGATCATCCTGATCCCCGCAGCTTGAAACATGCACTTCATCTCTTCTGGAGTGGCTGTGGTGGCAAAGTCCACATCTTCAGGTCGCTTCCCAGAAAGCAGATCCCGCACGGCACCTCCGGCAATACGAAGTTCATGCTGGTGCTTTTCAAATACCTCTGAAAAAAACGAAGAACACACATTTACTTGTTTATTTTTTTTTTTCACCTAAGAAAGTCGTTTTTACTTTACTTATTTGAACAAAAACATTGTTTATTCCCCGTATTAATCCTGAACTAGGTGTTATTTGGCGAGTGCCCAATGATTGGGGTCCTCCTATCAGGACCAGGCCAGGCCAAGCCAGAACGGGAGCTGATCCCCCAGTGGGACAGCCACCTGCACTATCACTCAACTTTGGGAGTTCAACCTTCCACAACTTTAGGTTAAGCAATACTGGCTAGACATAGTCCACACACCTCCATGCACAGCCTGGACTATGGGACCAAGCTCCTTGAGAGAGCCTGGATTTTCCTCTATTGGTGCTGTGGTTCACCCCAGTAGAGGGTGCCACATTCCTACACTTTCAGTGAGGGGCGAGGGCTCTGATGGTTTCTTGGTAGGCTGAGTACCGGTAACAGGATAGATTACAAGGCCTGCTTAGTATCCCTCCTGCCTATGTGGGAAACAACAGTGACATTAAGGCTGCATTTCTTGGACACTTCACTGAAGAGAGGGGTGGAGCAATCATCTGGTGGTGAGTTGGATATTGCATATTAGATAAGACATCAGATTCACACGTTCATCACAGTGATGCGGGTTACGGGTGACAAACACATGGGCAATTCTAGACAGGACCCAACAAGAGCCAGTGCCCCTATAGAACTGTTTATGGCCCTTGTACGAAAGAGATAATACAAAAAAAAACAAAAACAATAATAATCTAATGATGATATTTATAATCTAAAATAATGATTTAACTTCCCTTTGAGATTAATAAAATCATTTTGAACATGTGCTGGAACAGACATAGTGATGGGTAGGGGTGTGGGGAAAAAATCGTTTTGGCTATATATCGTGATATTCGGCTGCCCAATAAAATATCGATCTTTCACTTCTTAGTATCGATTAAAAAAAAAAAAAGGTTACATAAAACATTAATGGGAAAATGGGCTAGCTCTGCACCACCACTCTGGCAGAAAGCGCTGTGGAGCCTTTTAACTGTGCGTGCAGCACCAAATCTGTGTTTGAGGCAGTCACAGTGGAAGAAAACCCCAAACAACATGGATAACAATACCTAATCAATATTTTCTGATGAAAATATACAGCACTTGCTGTTTTATCTCATCATTTGATTTTGATAGCTGGGGAAAATATGGCAATATATAGTGATACTGCAATATCGTGATAATATCGTATCGTGACCCAAGTATCGCGAAATGTATCGAATCGCAACACTCATGCCAATACTCACCTCTAGTGATGGGTGGACCTTTTCAGTTCTGTTTTAAATTATTCAAAAATCAAGGGAAAAGCTTTGTATTTCAGTTTGCATCTGCTTAAATTTATTTCTAACCTGTCCTGTCTTGCTGCAGCTTAATATGACTTCTCTGCATATATGTATAAGATAGACAATCAGATGTCTACACATTCCTACACTTAGTTATTGGCAACACATTTGCCACATTGCATCTGCAAACTGATAGCGGAACCATAGCAGTAAGAGTCTTGTGGGGTTTATTTCTTTAACAGTTTTGCACATCCAGACAGAATTCTTTCTACGCTAACATATAACCTTTAGCGGACAGCCTCTGTGAACAATTTTCAAGTAACTCTTCTTAACTAAATTTGTTTTCTGTCTCTCTAAATTAGCCAAAAACATTTGGTTTTGATCTCAAATGATCAGATCATAGTCTTCACTCTAAGTGCTTTGTCTACCACGTGGCAAAAATCAAAAAGTACTGCTTGGAACTTTAACAATGAGAAAATATTCAGGAAGTAGAAATAATAGAAGCCCTAAATGTCAGGGATAGGTTGATAGTTCGGGGAAGTGCTGCTGAGCAACACATTCATTACATTCTAAGGGGAGAAGTATTTGGTTCAGAGAACAACAGCACAAACAAATCCTGGATGGAAAAAACCAAAGGTATCAACCTAAAAATAGGTTCCAGCTCAGACAGAAGGATATCTTTCTTAAGATGGAAAGGAGATTGAAACATATGATCACAGTATGACGATATTTATAATAAAAGCACTAAAATCCCTGATACTAGCAATATAGAGGCAGTCTGCTGACGATGCCCTTGGCTCCTTTAGCAGATGTTTAGTGTTTATCTATGATATGAAGGAGAAGAAGAGATTATTTCTGAGTGGTTTGATGTACAATTGATGTAGACTCCCTGGTTAGGCATCCAGAGAATTCCTTCATGAGAAGGTGAAAATGAGGAAATATTTCAAATGTTTAAGTCAACACAATCACTGAGTTGATAACCGTTCAACTCTATCTGGCGACAAATGAAAGACAGAGAGACCAACAACTGAAGGGAGGACAAATAAATGTGCGGCAAAGCAACAAAATTCATAATACCTAATTTCTTTAATCAGTGACTGCTTAAGTTCTTTTTTGTCTAAATATTTTTTAGTCAGGTATAGCTCTGAATAATAAATAAATAATTAAATTACCGAATCTGTGATGCAAACAGGCATTATGACATCGCCAATTTTATTTAGAGCCCTTCTTATTGAATATGTTATAGCTTAACTCATCATGCAGCTCTGCCATGACAAGCAGACTACAACTGAAAGTGAAGTAAACAGGCTGCAGATGAAAGATATCCTTCACATGGAGCCTCGAAGGTCTTAATCGTTTCTAGAGTTTGGCTAATGAAGCAGACTTTCCCTCTTTGAAAAAACACTTAAACCTCTTATACAGAAGTGATTTATTTCATAATTGGCACAAACATGAGTGTCAACATTTCTACTATGAACACTATGAATAGAAAGCAACCAAACGACACTCATCTTGAATATCTTGCTCTGATTGCAACAAGAAATTACCAAACATATAGAGTTAAGGATGAAAAAAAACAACTGCTTATCTATGTACTAATGTAAACTATGTTGTATATGCTTCCTCTGTCTTTAGAATTGATCAATTGATTTAGTTGTTTTATTATTTGTCTGAGTTATTTGGGATATTGCGGTTATTCCCTTGACTTTGCTAAGCCAACATGATTCTTAAGGCAACAATAGTGAGGATCACTGACCCTAATAGAGGCTAGAATAAAAATGTGATGACTATTACCCCATTTACACTACGCTTGAAAAAGCGATCCATGCCAAGACCGGTCCCAGCTCGGATCAGTTGACCAGGTCGAGCTTGGTTCTGACGACCGTTTACACATCACGCTATCTCGGTTCCTCGACTCCTCGCCTCCTAGTGACGATCTGCGGTAGTACTGCCAAGGAGGAAATCAAGCAGTTGGTGGCGGTAATGCACCAAAAATGAGCCCACCTCTGGAACTGGTCTGCAGTAAGCGAGGTCCGGTTGTGTCTAGCTCGGTTCAGCTCAGTTTGCTTTCTATTTACACGCGATAAGTTATCTCAGTTACTGAGCTCGGACCGGTCTCGGCATGGTTTTTCAAGGCTAGTGTAAATGGGGTATATGAAAGCTAAAGAAAATTATTGTGCATTTCTGATATTTAAGTTGTAACCTCAGTTGTACAGATTAAATATAGTGAATAAATATTTTAACAAAAAACATTCTGTTTGAATTGGTCATAATCAAAACCATGATGTTGCACCAGGAATCATACAGGAAACTATCTGCTATTGTTAGATCATGAATATTATTAGGCACACATTAATGAACAAACCAGCAAGTTAGTTATAAGCATAGGTTCCTCTATTGCTTATTATTTGATGTGAATCTAATTTTCAAAATGGTGTTCTAAAGACAAATTTATGCTTCCGAGGCATATCCTCTGCAACCGTCAAATCTGTCTCTGTGCGCAAAGGTTCTGCAACAGTCGTCGCGCAACTCAAAAAATCCTGACTATGCCTTGGTATTGAAAGTGTGCAGACAAAAAGCAGCTGTGATTGGTCCTTGGTATGTCTTTCCGACTGTCTGTGTGGTCGTCCTTCTCAATTCGGTACCGAAAACCGAGGACCAACTATATTGGACAACTACAACGAAAGGTTAATCGGCCTTTTTGCCAACTCCATAAACAGAATCTGTTCCTCTTCAATGTCAAGCAACTCTAGATCCATCTCCATCTTGCAGACGCGCCATTGTTGTTTTGGAAGTTAAAGACTCCAGCTGGCGCCGCCGAAGTGCTTGCGAGTTTTCGAATAGGCTCCCCCTTGCGCTTTGGCGGGAAACTGCTGTGCGTCTCTACAAAGTCCAGACCGGCGGTGCAGAAGCATACCAGCATAACTGGTTCGTGACCAGACCCAAGCGACATTTGATGTGTGCGATTGCAGAAGTATAATCTGCCCTTAATAATGAACTGTGGAGGGCTGCATGGTGACCCAGGGTCTTTCTGCATGGAGTTAGCATGTGCATGTGTGGGTTCTATCTGGCTTCCTCCCATAGAACAAAATCATGACTGTTAGGTTAATTGGCTTCCCAAAATTGTCCTTAGATATGTGTGTTTGGTTTTATGCTTTTGTGTGTCTCTCTGTTGCCCTACAACATCTCTCACCCATAGACTGCCAGACATGAGCACCAGCTCCACCGTGACCCTGACGGGATAATGTTTGCTGAGAAGATGGTTGGATTGACAGTTAACGGTAATATTTTCACAATTAAATAAAGAACGCTGTAATTAATTACCCACATGACCAAAGTGCTGTGGACAAACCAATGATATTATATATGTTTTGTTAATTAAATTTGGTCAAATAGTGAAGGACATCATCTATCTCTCTTTCTACTATATTAGAATATATGGATAATCAGTTTAGATATTCGTAGCGTTTGGTAGTGCAAAATCATTTTATTTTGTAGATGTGAAATGATTGAATCAAAACCAGTTATGCTACAAAAAAATGTGTGGCTCTCCGGCTCTCTCACTTTACAACAGTAAAAATAAAGGCTAAATAGCAAAAGAAAGAGGAAAAACAGAAGGTCTAGTAGATGAGTGCTGTCTAATAGAGTAAACTCACCCGCTATTCCATTCAGCCCATCAGTGAAGAGAGACTGGAACTCCTTGGTCTTCAGCCTCATGGTAAACAAACTTCGCCATACACTCAGTCTAATCCCAACAGGTTTGACTAATGTGCTCCACATCTACAAACAAAGAGAACGAGACAAGTCCATTTAACTTGGGCCCCTTTGCCATAAAGTTTGAGCTAGCAGGCTAACATGCTAGCTGGATAACCAGCTAGGTTAATAGCTAGCTCGTTAATAACGTTCTCAAAGCAGCTGCTACTGTCAGCACGTGTGTGTAAACAACGTTTTATCGAAAATTCAATAACAAATAAGACATAGAAACAACCGAAAACTTTAGTAGCCACATAACAAATCAAAGATACTGCTGTCACCGAATATTATCTTTATCGCTCATGTCTTCATGAAGCGGTGCCGGAAGCTTTTACAAACTTGTGTTGCTGGCGACCAATGGGTGAGAGCTCCAAGTCTCATAAGGCGGGATTTAAAACTGTTCTCGCGATAATTTCGTAGTTAAAGTTTCAGGCGCTGCTGTCTGGGGCTGTCAGACAGAACAGCTTCTAGCAGGGGATGTCGCCGCTCAAAGAGTGGAGTGATTTCTTTCCTGGCTTGAAAGGCTTTGCCTTTCCCAATAATTTCCGCGAGTTTGAAGAGAGATTGATCAGCAACCTGCTTTATTATCAGACTAATTATCTGGTTCTAGGTACTGCTGTTTTCATCTTAGCCGGGTATGTTAAATGTTCTTCACAAATCTAAACAGTTTTTGTAGTTTTTTTTTGTGTTTTTTTTTACCTATTGATAAATATTTGTGATTATGCACATAGTTTATTAAAGATGAGAGGAAGTTAAAATGATCTAGACAAATTGGAATAAAACTAAAGTGTAAAAACATAGAAAAAATTATATTTGTAGGTTAAATTAATTCATACAATTTTTTTATTGGTTAAACAAATATATATATATATATATATATATATATATTGTTTAACCAATAAAAAAAAATTGTATGAATTAATATATATATATATATAATTTTTTAGGGACTGTTACTTATGTAAAATCTAAAATATTGAAACAAAGGGGTAAGCAGTGAGTTCTGTGGAAAAAAACTTTAACTTGAAGAACTGGTCCATATTTAATAACACCAAAGTAGAAAGTATGTAAAACCCTGGAATGTTTGGCTCATTATATAATTTTACAATTTAAAACTTAAATGTATTATGCCACTATAAATTTAGAAGTTTTTTACTTAATCTTTTACATAATTTTAACAAGTTTTGAGGTCAGTCTAAATTATTTTTAAACTTTATTTGTTCGGTTCTATCTTATCTATCTATCCATGGTCGTAGTAGGCTCATGCTTTTGATTTTATTTTAATAACTTCAAAGTGCTTGACTGTACATTAAAAGAAACAGGGATTTAAATTGTTGCCAATTAACCACAAATGTTGTCTCCATGCTAAATCTGTTTGTATACAGTAATGTTAGACATAATTTATCCAGTCTTACAGGAAGATTCCAAGCCTATTTTAAAGTTGTTCAGAATATTATTCTACTTGGTCTAAAGCAGGAAGGCAGGGACTTGTAGATGCAGGAATTTTTTTGTTTCTGTTGTTTTTGTTTTTTTAATGCAGGAAGTTTAATGAAAACTATATATATATATATATATATTTTATCACCAGAAATTAAATCACATTTTTCTCAGACATTGGAATGAGATTAATCTAGAAATCTGTATTGGAGTTGTCATTTTAAAATTACTGTATTCTTATTGTGATTCACTATTTTTGTCTTATGGCTGTATTTAATAAATCAGATGGAAGAAAACAAACATCACTTTGTAAACACCATTTCCATGACAATACATTGTAGTACCTGCATCTGGGTCAGGGAAACTGGTTAGAACTAATAGAAAAGTTGATGGATGGAGCAGAAAACAGTGTCATCCTGGAAGAAAACCTGTAAGAGGATTTAAAAAAACAAAAAACTTTAGCCTGCATTATGAGTCCAACCACACAGACAGGGCTACAATGGAATAGTTTATCCCAATTGATAATTCTGCCTGAGCTTAAGCACATTTTTATTGTTGTTCTGCATGTGTTGGCCAATTATTTGTGAAAGCACATTGCATTTTCTGATTATGGATGTGTCTAAGGGGATATCATTATTTTTATCCAGGTATTATGTAGAAGTCATGTTGCTGTAGATGAAGCATCTAACCACATGGTGGAGTCAGTGCTTACACACTATCATGCAACATCAGTATTTTCAAACTGCACTCATGCACCTTCTGTTGTCCTGCTTTCCTCCTGCAGGTTAAAGGATCCTATGGGGTTTATCACTGGCCTGGCCGTGCTGTTCACCGTTTATTTGGTTTTCGTTTGGGCTGGAGAGATACAACCCTTGCTTAGCCTAAAGAGATGGAGGCCATTAGCTTTTTTGATCACAGTCATTGTTGTCAATTATGTGGTGATTTATTCATTTGCCAGAATCAGAAAACTTGCACCACCAATCAGTTTTATACTGACTGGTAAGTTGATTTAGTACTCTTTTAGCTCACAAAAAAGCAAAGCAGATGTTAATTAAACATGTAATAATCTATGCAATATTTTTATTTATTTTCAATGGAAGGTTTAAAATAATTATCAAATCATTCATTGATTCATTGTTTTTTTATGTCCTTTTCTCTCTGCATTGCAGTGATTACTCCACATGTCTCCTTTCGCAACCGTGGCATCAGCGAGGTGGCATACATGAAAGAAGCTACAGGACTGGGCGGATCAGCTATGGGCATTCTACTCATGACTCGCAACAAAAAAAAATAGGAAAAGCTAAAGGAGAAAGGATGATTGAAAAGGCACTTTGTGAAAACAGATTCATTATTTTCCCTTCTCATGGAATTAAATGTTTCTTTGTCTTTTAAACCTTTTTATCATTATTATTTTTAAGCTCTAGTGTCCTTGATGTTTTGTTTTGTTTTTTTTAAAGTAGGCAGCCAGGAAATGGTATCAGAGAGAGAGAGAGGGAGAAAACATGCACCAACAGTCACCAAGCTTGAACTTGAACTTTTAACGGCCACATTGTGGACTAAAGCTGTATCTAAATACCGGTAAATACATGGAAATATTAGACTTTGGTGTATTTCATGTCTAATATCATTTAAAAAAAAGATGTTTTAATAGAGGGCTTACCACTAAAAAAATGTATTTGAGATATATTAATAAGGTTAGGGCCCGACATTCTGTATTACTCGTATTAAATCCCATATTGTTAACATTTTACAGACTCCACCAAAGGTAATGGAATTAGAAATACTAAAATAATTCACCTTATGGTGATATTTTGATTCAGGTATTTGATCTCTTAGAAATGTGAATAAACTGTTTTTAAAGCTTTCTAAGCAAATTAGCAGGATTCCAATCATATGTTCAAACATCTCAGTCTTCCATTAATGAATTATCTGTGAAATAAATTACCTTTTGCTGTGGTGTTATAAAGTATTTGTGAATAGGTTGGCACAAAGCAGAGAATAACTGTAAAGTAAGCTAACCCTCAAGTCTCTTATGATTTTATGAGCCTCACGCATCTAGAGATTAAATGTTTTGTCAAATTTTCTCCACAACGGCAGGCCATTTTGACATTTATTAAAAGCACTCTGTTCCATTTGTAAATCACTAAAGAAGGATTTTTTTTTGGTCAAAATCACATTTATATACGTAAATGTGATAACAGATATTCCAAGTATATTTTTGCAAAAGAAACTGAATTTGAGAAAGTAAAAACACAAAAGTATACTAGTAAGATTTAAGTTTTATATGCCTTGAAATGGTAGGACATTTTAAGTGGCCGTATGTTAAGGTTATTTGGTATGGAATAGACTTTCAGTTCTGTTTGTTTCCAGCACACGAAGGGGTGAGAGGAAATGAAATAGCAGATAAGATAGCTAAAAAAGCTTTAGGAGAGCAGAATATAGATCATATTCCATTTGGGAAAGGGGAAGGTAAATCAATAATTAAAAAGAAAGAAACAGAATTATGCCAAAAATATATGGGATGAAGATGAGAAAGGGAGAATATTATATAGGGTTCAAAAATCTGTAATTGCTAAACGATTACGGAGAAAGAAGCAGAAGGGAAGAGATAATTTATACTTGATTAAGAACTGGACATACCCACTTGAATTAGTTTTTCTGTTGCATTAAATGTGCAACTGAATGAGAGAGGATGAGGAAATGTACCGTAATTATAGAAAAAGAGAGAGAATGGACTATTAAAGGAATTTTAGGGACAGATGGGGATAGGGAGAAGAATTTGGCTATTAATAGAGCTTTGTTTTTATTTTTACATAACACAAAAATAAAAATTGTATATAGTAGGTGGAACTATAGAGCTACACACTCGTGTACAGTAGGTGGCGGTATGCACCTTAAGTTGTTTGCAATCCGCCAATCTAACGAAGAAGAATAACTTGTTCTCGCGAGATTTACCTACCAGTCCTATTTGTTTACTTATTCTGTACAGTTAATCTCCTTTCGCTGTCAAAGTGGTAACTTACTGGACTCTAATGGCTAAAGTAGAGCTGGCACCGCTTAGATCGTGGGATGATTTCTTTCCCGGTTCGGAACGGTTCGGCGCACCGGATGTTACAAATATGACGAGATGGAACAACCGAGTTGTCAGCAACTTGCTTTATTACCAGACGAATTACCTGGTTCTTTCTATTGCTGTTTTCCTCATCGTGGGGTAAGAATGTGTTTATATTGCTGGATATTTCTATATGTTCAAGCAGGGGGGTCGGCTTGTTGACATCAGGAAGGTTTTAACTTTAGAGAGAGATCAGCGGATGCTGACAGGAAGTAACTCTGCTGTAACATTAAAGGGGTTGGTCCATGAATTAAACTCTGCTGTAACATTAAAAGTGTTGGTCCATGAATTAAAGGAACGATCTGCATAGGTTACATGTTTCATTGATGATTTGATCGATTTGAGAAGTGGCCAAGTTCCAACAGAGCACAGAGTATTTGGTCTGCTCCAGAAAACAGGCTAAACCAGACAAGTAAGTCTCACTGCTAAACCTGTAATCTATGAACAGAGTTCATCATCTGATGAAAGCAAACAATGAGAGTTTGCAGCTCATAGAATGTGGATCCTGTGTTAGATTTCACTTGATTCCAGTTTTAAAGCCTGCTTTTCTAACAGAACTCAACTAATCTAAAACTTTATTTATAAAGCACATTTGAAACAACCAGGGTTGACCAAAATGCTGTACAGGAATCACAGTTGCAGAGCATAAGAAAAAAACAAACAAACTGAAAGCTAAAATACATAAACACAATGCAAGAAGAAACATTGAATGGAGATAAAATATAATAGGGTAAATATTTCAATTGAAATGCATTTTAAAATAACATTTAAAACAAAGTTTTGCCAAATGTCCACTTAGACTTGATTAAAAGCCAAGGAGAAGAAGTGTGCTTAGAGAGGATTTAAGGAGGCTGCTGATCGAATATGTTAAGGCAAGTTATTCCACAGTCTCTGTGCCGCTTCCAGAAGTGAAGCCCAGTAATTAAAGGTCTGCTCTTAAAGCTGTCTTCTTGTGATGTTTTGATAAAACCATTGAAAAGGCCACACTGATAAATCACCTGCCTCTTCATCTCTGTTTAGAGTATAAATACAGCTTTGGAAAAATCACTCGGTGACTTCATCTTGACTCATCATCACTGTAGCAGCAAATCTGAACTTTGACACACTTCTGAGTAATGGTTTGAATAAATATTCTGGTGTTATATCTATTATATTCTTCCAGTGAGACAAAGTAATTCAACTTTCAGTAAAGGTGCCTTAATAGCATGTTATAGTAAGTTTGTATAAAATAACCTAAAATCATCTGATCCATTCGTTGCTACATACAGCGTATAAAGCAGGTCACAGTTCTTTAGCAAAATATTGAAAGGTGTATAGTGCACAATAAATATGAAAATAAACATCGGTACCAATATTTCAATCAGCCAACTATCAAAATCAAAAAATTTTACCTCAAATGTCTCTGAATGACAACTGAGGTAATTTTTTTCTGATATTAAATTAAATGAATCATAATTAAAAACTTAAAGTATATATTTTTTTTTGTTGTTGTTGTTTAGTAAACACACCATCAAACAAGCTGTGGATCTCTGCAGCTCCTGCAGAGTCCTGATGGGGCTTTCAGCTGCTTCTCTTATTATTGTTCCCTTTTTGTCAGTGCAGCCGCCTGTTGGTATCCACATGATATTGTTTTATAATCTATGGCATCTTTAAACATCCCAACAGCATCATCCCAGACCTATCTGCTGTGCTTCTTGGTCTTCGTGATGGTCTTTGTTTAGAAAAGAGCTGTAGAGTTCACAGCCACTCTATATTATATATTTCTAATGCAGCTGGTTACTTTTCAGAGTTAAGTTTGTAGAAAAAAAATGTATTCATTATGGCTCAAAGAATTAATCAGATTAATCGCGATTAATCGATTATTGAAGTACTCGTCAACTAATTTAATAATCGATTAATCGTTAACTGGAGTATAGAGACTGTAAAACATGCCTTTAGCTGATAAAGTGACTCACTTAGAGCTGTAATTGTACTGAAATTGTAAAAAATACATAAACATTTTGCATTTGAGATAAAAACTAAAATATTTTTCTTTTCTTCTTTAAGGAACCTTTGGCTATCCGATTATAAATCAATTAATCGAAAAAATAATCAACAGATTAATCGATTTGCAAAAAAAATGTAGTTGTAGCCAAAGTATTCATATTTTTTTTTTTATTTCTTTTGCACTGCGTGAAGGGGGAACGTGATGTTTTTGTAGGTCTAAGATCTGAACACTAGGTGGAGCCAGTGGCTGCATCATAACTTGTCCTATGAGTCTAAAACAGGAGCTAACCCCTCCTCTCTCTAAACTGCTTTCTGGTCCTGCAGGTTTCTCAACCCTGTGGGGATGGTCACAGCCTTGGTCGTGGTGTCGATCGTCTTCCTGGGTTTGGTTTGGGCTGGAGAGAACCAAGCCATCATCAAGAGCTTCAAAAGGCAGAGCCCCACAGTGTTTGTGATGGTCGTCATGGCGGCCAGCTACATGCTGACTTCTCTGCTGGGAAGCGTCATGACGTTTATGACAGCAGTCACTCTACCTCTGATTTGTAAGCAGATTTTGTGGTCGTAACGTAACAAGGAGGTTCATGCACTGTGTTTCCTGCATTATGTTTTACACCACATTTACTTGAGTTGTTACATCACTTAAATGTAAAATGATCAGTGCATGTGAGGGATGATGAAATATTCTTCATTCTCATTTAATCAGAGCATGCTTTGAGTTTACGAGTTTGTTTTTGCCAAATGTATCAACCTTGACATTTGCTTGTCCATCTGCACTGCAGTGATAATGGCACACGCTTCGTTTCGCCTACGGAACATGAAGAACAAGCTCCAGACCAAGCTGGAATGTTCAGGGCTGAAGAGAACTCCGATGGGCATCCTACTCGAGTGTCTGGAACAGCAGGAAGAAAACATACAAAAGATTCAGACTTTTTTAGAGGGAAAAGTGAAGGAGTAAAACCTTATCTTCTCTAAAATGCTACAACTCCAATGTTCTCTGTTGTCTTTTATGTTGTGCGAAAGGAAAGCCTGCAAACCAGCAATGTTATCTCCTCCTCAGGGTATCTTGTGTCACTCTGCACAGAACTTGTCAGGGCGCTCCCCCTGCAGTGATCAGGGCACCTCACTACTGCCTCACATCTCATCTGTGCAGCTATGCATGTTGTGTCCCAGACAGCAGCAAGCTTCTCGAAATCTGCGTTTAATCAGAAACTCCTCCGTTTGCACTTGAGTGAAATTGTGAAAGCAGCACAAGTGTTGCCTTTTAACAGAGGCCGAAAAGTGCACACTCAACATGCATTGCTGCCAAGACCAGCGCGTTTTCAAGTTCATGCAGGAAATCTCTTCACATTCAGAGTAACTGTTTACTTCAGCCCAGAGTTGAATTGAAACCTTCTGCTCATGTAAATAAAGAGAATCATGCAAAAGAGCAAGCCCTGCTTTGACTCCAGTCTGATTACTTTGTCAATATTTGAAAGGAAACTTGAAAGGAAAGCCATGCCTATCAGGAATTCTTCTGACCATGCCTGAGTGTTTAATCTTGACGGTACCTCCTGGCTGATGGATGGGCTCTCTTTGCTTTCCCTTCCACTTATCCAGCAGGCTGATCAATGGTGGTGGAGTGGATTTGTCTGCAGTCAATAAGGCCTTGAATTTGGATCAGATAATCCAATGCTGCTTCATTTTAAACCATCTCACACTAACTCAAACATACAAAAAGAACATTTCTTTCAGATTAGAATATTTATTTAAAAGTGGTGAATGTTTGTTGAGCCAAAAGATCTGTACGACAGTGTCGCTCACAAACCGGACTTTCCTGCTCTGCATGGAGCAGTGCCTTTCAGGGATTGGAGTGAAATACTACTCCTTTTTCTCCAGCTTTACGAAGCTCTGCTGTTCTAAAATAACCTGAATGTAGCTCCTGTTCATATTTGGGAAAATGGTTCAACTTTTAGCAAATAAATTCATCTGCCAGCAATAAGGCCCAAATTTTGGGTTAAATAACTGTTCTGTCAGTTTGACATGTGTTCTGTTTGCAACTGAATTTTATTTCATTCATCTTGGAGCGGACTGCAGCTAACACCTGGCCTTCAGCTCTAAAGGTAAATTGAAGCATCATTTTCTGGTAAAACATGCAGTATATTAAAGCATAACACTATTAATTTTTATATTTTATGAATACAAGGTGTATTTGCAAAATGTACCTTTGTATTTACCTGTTATTTTTTTGTGTGCTGATTTTCAACTATTAAAGTCCAACAGACATGTTACCAGGGGCTGATTGTTGGAACCTTATGGTAATTCATTCTGTATCAGTGGAACATCAGTGAGCTTTCAAATAGTTAACATTTGTTTGAAGATTAGAGGATTACAGAGCCACAGCATTCCTCCCCGACTGGTCTTTGCAGTCCCGTCCACCCAGGTTTGTTTATTGGTTGGTTCCTCTGCCCTCATTTTCCCAGCGTCTGCCTCCTGTCAGATCATCCTTACAGCTTTGTGCTGCTGTACCAGTTATCATATTAATCCTAGTGGGTTTTATCACTGTAAAACAAAAAACTTCCAACAAAATGTTACTAAACCTTAAAATGTAAGGGAGTGCCAAATATTCTGTGTTGTACAACGATGAAGAATTATTTCTATGCATAATGGCTGAAACTAATTTGGAAATTTATTTATTAGTTCTTAACTGTTTAAATGTGTGACATTTAATACATAACAGATTGATGTTAGATTATTTAATGAAAACTTCACATTAAATTTACATGCTTTTAAATTATATTTTATTATTTATTGGGTCTCATGCAATTTTTACTTATATGTGTTAAAATTTACTCTCATATATGTCGGTATTCATTTTTACAATGGCTGGTTCACAATGCAAGATTTTAAAATTGTCTGAACATTTTCAAATCCTAAGAACCTTCACATGATGAAAGATTGTTGATATAGTGTGTGACAGTATGAAGCTGTACAGCAAGAGCAACACATCAACAGATTTAATTCAGATATTATTCAGGAAATTTCAGGTGTGTGAAATCTCACAACACCTCTTGAGTTTAGGCATGAGTTCAGTGTAAATAACAGTGGCCAATTAGAAAGGAGCAATAGTGATACTTTGTGGACTGATTTTAAAAGAGGAAAAAAACATTACAATAAGAAAAGGAATTCATTAAAGGAATGGAGACAGAACACTATTCACCACACTGGTGAGCTGTGTTTTTTTGACTTGGTTAAAAGCTTTCTGATTGGCTAGATGTCACATTAATCATCCTGTGTCCCCATCTGCTCTCGGGGAACATCACACACCATCTAGAGTCTAGTTGCAGACCTGCACTGTCAGGAGCCAGACCCCTCTCCACCCCGTTGACTGCAGAGGTCAGACCAGGACAACCCAACATGTTGGACTCCCCCACATCACTCTTAACACACACTAGGAATATCTTACCTGAGTTTATCTTAAGGGACATTGCAGTCATAGGTGTGTCCTTAGAATTGTTGGAAGGGAAAGATGGGGCAAACATCTTATCTTGGTCTGTGAACTCGCCCAAATCGACTAAACTGCACAAGAAATTCACCTCAGACCAATAAGAAGGACCTGAGTAATTAGTCACCATTAACTCAGGTCATTGGCTAAAAGGGAAGGCTGTCAGAAAATGAAAAAATATGACACGCTGAATAATAGAACAATAGAACAAACCCCCCAGCTGGAGGTTTCTTCCTGTTATAAGGGAGTTTTTCCTCTCCACTGTCGCTACAAGCATGCTTACTGTGAGTGATTGATCCGAGTCAATTAATCGATACAATCAACTAGTTTTCCTTAGATAGAAAACTTTTAATCAATTTGACTGGTAAAGTGCCTTGAGATGACATGTGTTGTGAATTGGCGCTATAGAAATAAACTGAGCTGAATTGAATAGTATAATAATTCAGGGTTGTGTGAGTGTGTTTTGTCTTTTATTTATTTATTTATTTTTTGCTTGTGCATGATCTAAATGTGCTGATAAGACAAAAGAAACACTTTCAGGCCGAGCTAATGCAGCAGGTTTTAATGCCAGGATGAAATCTTAATGCCAAGACAGGATGGTGCCTCTTTTAATTAACTGATCCATCCAAATCTTAACAGCTCACCAGTTCATCACATGTAGCATTTAGCCTCTCCTTGTGATTTTGACTTAAAATCCAGAAATCCCAACTTATCTACACTGCAGTGATAAAACAATCCCCCACTGAGCTGCAGCAGTGATTTACCTTCCCTGCTGCCTCATCACGTCACCATTGTGAAACTTGGAGTGAACACAAGCACCGCTGGCAACAGATTCAAGTAAAGTCATGTCTCAGAGGATACAGTGGAGGCCCTTGTTCCTTCCCGGAGCAACAGCTGCACGTACCCCAGCAACACGTGTGTGCAGCCCGCCGTCTCACTCAACAGGTGTGTGTCAGTGGTGTCTGCTCAGCAGAAAGGAAAGGAAAAACAAAATGTGAATCCTCCATTGTGAAATGTTCCTGATGGCAGGTGTGCACACACACCTTTTATAGTTCTTTATTTAATTTAACTTTATGTGATAAGTAGGCCTGAAACAATTAATCGGATTAATGGATTATTGAATTAATTTGGTAATCAGTTATTGTTAACTGGAGTATAGAGATGTAAAACAAGCCTTTAGCTGACAGAGCGACCCCCCCTTTCAGCATAATTATGTAAATATTTTGCATCTAAGAAAAAAAACAAACTTTTTCGTCTGTCAATATGCTTCATCCAGAACTTCTCAAGTGGAAAGTTTTAGTTTCACCTGGTCTAAAGGTCTTCTTTAAGGAACCTTTGGCTATCTGATTATTAATCAATAAATAATCAACAGGTTAATCGATTTGACTAGACCATTAATTGTTCTGCTGGATTTTAGATCTCTATAATCTTTTGCAGTCTTTGGTCGGATGTCCTCCCTAACCTGTATGTAGTTCCATTGACTTGCAGCCCCAGAGGAAGATGCTAGCAGTACTATTTCCTACCATGGCGATAGTCGGTGTTCAAAGCAAAAGCAGTGATTGCCTTTACACCAAACATTTTCCACAAAGGTCAAAAAGTTCAGCAGCATCTTTATTTCTCCATCTTTCCACTTTGAAATGACTGAACTGTGCTCCATGAAATTGAAATCTTTAATTTCCCTTACAAGGGATCCACTAATATCCTTTGGTACGTAGCCCAAAATTCTACAAATATATATATATATATATATATATATATATATATATATATGTTCAAGTTTCTGGTTGTCTAAATGTGAAGGATAAATTCGTAAGAATGCTTTTACAAGTGAATGTAGTTCATATAAATACAGCAAAAAGACCACTAGCTGTTAAGGAGCATTTCTTTTTTTTTTTTGCAAACTATTAGAAAAAAGGTTGATTCAGATTTTTCATTTGTAGAGTCATCATATAAAGTTGGGGTCAGATGCTTTTTAAAGTTGAGGAGTCAGCAGAGTTAGTGATTTTTCCCTTTGTGTGGCTCATACCTGATTAACAATAGGTACTCAGTAATAGTCAGACATCTGATGCTGCTGCTTCAGTGGAGACATCTCTGTCTGAACCAAAATTGCTGTGGTTGACACCAAGCAGTATTCATCCCTCCACATTAGAGAAGCTGTCTGCAAGGTTTAATGAAGGGAAAGTACGTGGGGGTGGTGGGGGGCTTTGCTGGTGCAGTGGAGCGTCAGCTGGAACAGCCTTCTCCCCTGTTGTCTGACTGCAGCTGGTGTGAAGCAGCAGAGAGGGAGGGAGACAGCTGGAGGAGACGGTGCTCTCATCACGCTGTGCCTTTGGAAGAACCACAAGTCCTGGAGGCATCAAAGACCTTCCTTCAGCTTGCATATCACCGAGAGGCTCTGTGTGAGAGTGTCACGATAATGTGAGCATTTTGAGGAAGGGAGAGGAAGTTTGTAGGGCAGAGCTGTTGGAGGGTTTATGGGCAACTTGTACAGCAGGCTCCTCTCACATAGGCTTTGGTGCTGTAAACTACATGCACTTAGTCATTCACAAGGATGGTAAGAGAAGTTATGGACTAAAAAAGGGTGGGGCAGGTTTTAAATACTGGTTTGGTTGGTTTACAACTTTAGAACGCTCAAAACCAGCCCGACGGGAAAGCTCAGCAGTGGGAAAACAGCTGAGCACCATGAGCACCATGTCTCAGTGTGTTTAAAAAGCAACTCATTTAGCCATACTTGCACTGGCTAGTAGTAACCAGAAGAAATAAAGATAGCACGGCACATAACCCTGTGCACACTATCTCAATGGTGAAAACCAGATGGTGGCAATATTATTCTGATTGGACAATTTTCTTCTGCAGTTTATTAATCTCATTGGGATTAAACTATTCTGGTAATAAGTAAATCCTCCTCTGAAGACTTGCAAATATTATTATGGTAAAGATTGGAACTACAAGACTGATATAAAACAAACATTTTCCAGGTTGTTATAGCATTAATTTGTTATCTAAAATTCCAATAAAATACTGTACATTTATTCCTGGAGTAACAATCGGTGATTACCCTTCCAAAAACAGCTGCTTTCAGTTTTGAGTCATGTTACCGGTATGTCTTTCTGTAAATTTAAGTCCACCAGTTTGGTTTATTTTTAAATTAAAAGCCTAATTATCAAAAAAATCAGACTCAAATACTTTTTTATTGCAAAGAAATGCACATTAAACAAATAACTAAGAACCAGCTTAACACTTATTAATTACTATATATTACATGTTCCTTTTTTTCCTCAATTATATAAAAAAAAAGCTCTATAAAAAAAGGAGAGAACCAGTGTATTTACAAAAAAAACAACACTTACATAAAGGTTCATTCTCTAATGAGAAAAGACGAGCACCGGCCCATGATTTCCAGCATGGATCAAATATCGAGTTCATAACAAACAGAAAACTGTAGTGGCAGTAATCTAACTGGTGACCTGCTGTAATACTCACATGGTGCAACAAATCTGGCTCACTTTGTATTTAGTGATAAAAAGAAAGACCAAATTGGAGGTTGAGTGGCTGCTGGATAAAGTAGCCTCTCTATTAACTTATTTTAATGAGTTCAATCCTTCATTTTTGACCTCCTTCATGGTTCCAGTGTTCATACAGGACTTTCAGGGACAGAAAAGGGAGATGGCCATTTTTGTTCGTAATCGCTCGAGTTCCTCTTTGTAGAGACGATCTGTGTGAAGTTGGGGTCTCTGGAGGCAAACATTTTGGCTGAAACATGCAGTCCACAGCAGGTGTAGTTTCAGTGCAGAGATGATAACATCACAAACACATGTAGACACTCCAACTTCAACAGAGGCTATTTTCAGTTTTTTAAAACTGCATTCAAGAGAAAAAACAAAACTGAGAGCCCTTCATTTGTTCCAATCCATTAAGTTCCTTCACTCGTTAAGTCCTCTGAAGATAAAAAAAACAAACTAATCCAGTAAGTGCAGTGTAAGGCACAGTGAAAGCTAGTCCACGCCAAAAAAAATCCTGCTCAGCACGACAGCCAGCTAGACAATAGTTCCTGGTTTGGGGCTTTCAAGCCAGCAAATCTGCTCCTCTGGCTCCATACGGGTTTGGTTGTTCATTTGAGAGTCCATGTGGCTCACGTCTACGTAGGATCTGGAAGTAACACAAAAGATCGGAGGACATCAGGATAAGTTGGAAAAACAACAATGCTGAGAGATAAAATATCAAATCTGTGCATGTTACATAAAACATTTTGGATAAAGATGCACCGAGAAATAGTGTGGTGACCAGAAGCAGCAGATTTTAACACAATGGACTGCTCTAAAATAGAAATTTGTTTTTTTTTTCCTTTCTGATAGGTGAACACACTAAGTAGTAACAGGATGGGATAAAAAGATATTCCAGTTTGGAAGTTCTTACAGGAGGAATCTCTCAGCTGTTAAATGTAACAGATAGATATAGAAATTAACTGATGCACTTTTCTTTGGGACATTCCAATTAGTTTGGCATCAGTCTAAACGATCCTCAATATATGTGCTGCAAGGGTTTTGAGCCAAATCCTGATGCTTAAATGGGCCAAAAATGCTGACTGACTGGCTGGTGCACTGGTTTATCTTTAGTTAGATATTTAAGCATAAAGTCAGAGAAGATCAGCAACTAAAAAAGTAAACTTTATCCTATATACCTGTTGGTCATTCTAACAAAGATTTTTCATTAAGAAACAACAAGCAGAACCCTCACTGTAACTGGACCAACTATTGGTTATGAAATGCTGGATCAGAAACTGTTTACATCTTTTAGGATTCTACAGATCTAAGCTCTCTAAGGAGCACACACAAAGCCTGCTCTTAGCAATGCTCCTGGCACAGTTATTTCTCCTGTTTGTAAAATTTTTGTTTGTTACATGTAAAGCACGAATCTATAATTTATCCATCCATCCATTTTCCATCACACTTCATCCCTGCTGGGGTCGTGAGGGGTGCTGGTGCTTATCTCCAGCTTTCTACAGGCAAGAGGTGGGGCACGTCCTGGACAGGTCGCCAGTCCATCACAGCACAATCTATCATTTATTTTAAATCTAAATATAAATAATCCAAAAAATACTTTATTAGTTGTATTATTTGTGAAGAAGTAAATAAGATTTGCTTTAATTGTATCCTTGAGATAACTAAATGCTTTATTTATAGAGAAAGCAGATTTAATATATTGGAACTGGATGTAATCTGCAGGTCACACGAATTTCTGATGGTGCATCTCTAACTTGGGTTTTGTTAATTAAAGTCATTTTTAAATCCAGAGTCAAATATAGCCACACATCGAAGACTGACGTTACAAACATGCACGGATTTCAATGCAGTAATGTTCAGAGGTCACATTTTTCCTCTGCCACACAGGTGCTCTCCCGCCACCATGAAACACCCAGCTAAAAGAATCAAAAGAAGTGGTTTGAAATGATTGGAGCGTTCAGTTAGTCCTTGGTTCACTGCTACAGCCACACATCCCCATCACCGCTGTACCCATGATGGGAAACCTTTTCTTGTCTCTCACCCTTCCTTGTTTGCTGTGATGGATAATTAAGGGGGATAAATTTCCTGGTCAGTGGCAACAGCAGCAAACCTCTCTAAGGGCCCCTCAGGGCCCGTCATCTTATCATAGCTCCGCCACTGAATTTCTGGGAGGCATCTGTGCATGAGAGGGGGGCAAAGGTCATGGTTGAATTTTGGGCAGAAATGTCTGCCCAAAAAAAAAAAGAAAAAAAAAAAAAACTGTAGTTACGGCGCTCTGTGATGAAATGTGACCAAATGAAGAAAATATGCCATCAGACAAGCTGCTGGAGGTTAGGCATATTTTCAATAAGTCATGCAGTAACCTTATTATACAGGACAAAGATGGAGTAGACATCTCAAAAACTGCAGAGTTTAATCAGAGACATCAACAGGCAAACTTTCGGGACACAGGCAAATGCACAGACTCAGGCCACCAATCACTTGCTGTTTACTTACTATGATTTACCATCTGCAAAAGGCACCTTAATAAGCCTGTGGCCCCTGGAGAGCTGTTGCTGTGCTTGGCCAGAAAACACCTGCCTGAACCGACAGCCGGGGGAAGAGGAAGAGGAGGGTATGGAGGAATCTGAAGGGGGGCTGGAGGAAGAGGAGGGACTAGTGGGGAGAAAAGTACAGCGCCTCTGTCCATCAGGACTGTACCAATTACCTTTTAAAAGCTGGGAGGTGGCAGATCTATAAGAGAGCAGGGGCCAGGGGACAGTTAAACAGAGCAGGGACCAGTAAGCTATAAGGAAGGCCTGACTGATGGCAGAACAAATCCTCTAATCCTACTGAGTGCTGTATATCGAAAAGCTGTGGAATAAGTTTTATCATTTTTAGGAGAATCAAAAGATAAGATGTATATATTATTTAGAAAACTGAGGAAAATACGACACAAATAGGCAGCAGTTTCTTAATTGTCTAGCAGCTGAAAAAGTAGTACTTCGCTCTGAGGATTAGCTAGTGGATTAGTGGATAAGAAGAAAAGCTGTAGCCAAGTTTTTTTTTGTTTTTTTTTTCCTCACCTGCTGTGGAGTGGGTGGCTGTGGGAGGCTGCGCTGTATGAGTAGGAGAGCGTCTCGTGCACAGACATGTCATAATCTGACATACCACAATTACTCATGGGCCAGTTTCCACTGGAGGAGGCTGATGACACTGGAGAAACATGTTTTTTTTAAATTAACGACAACAAATATAAAACTAAAAGTGACTGAATTGTGGAGCAGTGGGCTAACCTGTAGAGTAACACATGTTCCTGCGATTCTGAGAATAAGGTGCAGGCATAGTCTGATAACTCAGGCTCTGCTGTGAGCCTCTGTCATGCTCGCAGTTGTACATCCCCTGTTTCTGTGGAGCGTTACGCTGGTACCAGCCCTTCAGGTGTTCTGCCACCAGTGCTTTCTTGATGTTCCTGCTGACCTGCTCAGTGCTGCGGTGTACCGGGCGGTTCCTGGGCAGCCGTAGTGTGGCATAAGATATCTGAGAAACGCCGTCTACCATGTCTGACGAGTACTGAGAGTGGATGTCGCGACTGTAGAAAGCTGCCTGTGTGCGGCGGTAGGCAGGGTTGACGTTGTAGTGTCCCTCCATTTCATCCTCGTACACGTAAGGTCGGCTGGAGTACGGTTGTGGTTCCGGGTGGCTGGGATAGCCGGTGACGTAATAAGCCGTAGTGGTGGGTCGCCCTTGAGGCTGGTAGGCATAGCAGCGGGTGTCCGCCTGAGCCAGGTTAGGCATGCTGCCAGTGTTGGCGTAAAGGTCTTTTCTGTGTCGGCCACGAACTCTTGGCCTGTGGGTGTGGTTGCTGGGTGCACTGTATTCCATGCTGGACTGACTGGTGTGCGACGAGCATTCGTCGATGAGTTCTGTACTGTTGCAGCGTCGGGCTGAGTTAACGGTGATCTGAGGTACTGGCGGTTTGGTCTCGTTCAGGAGCCGAGACAGAGACTCCAGGCTGCCGCTCCTCTGATGGAAATGTTGTGGAACATCCTCCGATCTACAAAGACAATCAAAGCTGATTAACGGAACAGATTTTACTCTTGTTCATTCTGAGCTCTTTCTGAGGCAAACATGAAGCAAAATAAAAGCAAAACCATCCACTGTGAGGTACTAATGCTAATTTATTTGTTTTAAATCAAATATTTTAGCAGAGAAAAATTGAACTGATTTTGGAAAATTAAGGTCCTGTTAAATCAAATCTATCCAAACTTAAGCGTCTTTATGAACGCAAGCAAGTCTGCTGCTTGTTGGTGTGTTTATAGAACAAACTGTGATAGTTTTTAGTGTTCATGAATTTTCATTTTTCATGTATAGGCCTTCTGATCGTTGATATCCTTCAATATTTCTTGGTTCATTTTCTATTTATTTATTTAAGTGCAAATCTATATCATGAATTGACAGATTAATATCAAATATTTTAACAAAAAAGCAATATCAGATCCGCAGAAAATTTGGATCAGAATATCAGTCTCCCTGTAAGATTTGCCAGTTTTAATGGTTTCATAAAATATAAACTAAAAAATCACAGGCATTGTTTGACAAGAAAGACAACAAAAACATTTTAAAGATCATAATCTTTCTTTTGCCAGACCTGGAAAATACAGATATCAATTAAAGTAAAACAGTAAAACCCTGAATAATTAAGAGAATAAATCCTTGATGCCTTCCTTACCTTAGCTGTGTGCTGCTGTAGGCGTTGCGGGTGAGGAGAGGGGTGGGAGGCATGCTGCGGGCATCAGAGGGCTGTCTGGACGACAGTTTGTGGGGACTGTTGAAGCCTGGTAAGGCATCTGTGGGACTGTAGTACAGGGATTCCTGGACTTGGTCATAATTTAACCTAGAGTAGATAAGAACTTTGATTTTAGGCCATTCAACTCTTTGGGGCAAAGTCTTTCCTACATAATAACCTTAACTTCTCTACGGGAACGAAAGCTACATTTGCTCGGCAGGGTGCTAAGGTAATATTTCACATATGAAGGACTGATCATCCTCTTCATGCAATCAGCAAACTTGTTGAGTGTAAAAAATGTTTTAAGTCTTTGACAAGTAGAGGAATATAACTTGCATCAGCTGCTGTTTGAACCAAATCTCCAACAACTTTTTTCCCCTGTTTTCCTCTCCCTTTCCGCCTCAACTTAGGACTGTTGTCTACTCCTTCACATGCATAAAGTGTTTTTTTTCATCTATTTTTAAAGCTTGTGCTATTTGCCTGATAACAGGGAGGTAGCTGAAGAGGCAGCAAGAGGAGGGAGGAGACTGGTAGGAATTTAGCTCTAGATATGCGCTGCAGGTCTCAACTGGCTCTCAGCTCTGAGTTATCAAATCCACAACATGTAAAGAAGCACAGAGCCTTTTAGTGGTGTCTTTCAAGCCTCTGTTTGACAACAGTGTATTTTGACCAGTTCTGTTGTCAACATAATCTGTGCAACATCTCTGAGCTGTAAAAAAAAAATGCCCTTCTCTCACCCTGAGCCTTCATCAAAACAACTGCTTAAGACTTGTTTATTGGATAAAGCCTCACAGACTTCAATGTATTTCATCAGAGTTAAAATGATTACACACAGAGCAGCTGGTATTTGAAAAGGGGAAGGAAAACATCAATCTAAGAACCCCACTGCTAACATGAAGCATGGTGGTGGCCCCATCATGCCATGGAAAAACAAATCTGAAAAATGTGGCCTGCATTTCTATTTAAGAATAAATTACCCCCAGCGTCTGCATACCTTCTCTCTGACAGCTGGTCATTAGCAGAGGCTCGTCGGTTATTGTGGTAAGAAATGCCCAGAGTTTCTGCATGGTAGAGCTTGGGGGAATACTGGGCCGATTGAGACCGCCCCCTGTGTGAACCCAGTTCATCATCTAGGAGACAAAATGTCCGACTGATCAACATCAGGTGATGGGATGAAGGAAACATATGCTCACTCGTCACACTTACCATCATCTAGAGTAAGGCTGTCAGACAGAGAGCTGAGGTCTGAGCGTTGGGCATCATCTGTGAGAAACAAATGACAGCATTTTCATTTAATTAGCTGAAAATTGAGCCATGCTGAACAGGCTATGGGTTCTGACCAGTTCTCACTGCTGATAAACTACCTGCTGAGGTGAGTGAGGATCTCTGAGTAGGTTTCCTTCCTGCTTGCATCTTATAGCTGTTTATCTCTTTCTCAATGTCCAACAGTTTCTTCCGAGAGTCCAGGAAGTTATTTTTTCTTTTCCTCTTCACTGTTTTGTCGAGGCCTTCTTCCTGTAAAAGCTTCTCGGCTGCCTCTACAATCTTCTGCTGTGTTGCACGCTCGCTCTCCAGATCTCTAAGATATGGGTCCTGTAGGAAAGCGCAGAACATTGGCTCAGTTAAAGAATACATAGAGATCTTCTCAGAGACCTTTCTAGTTAAACAAAACAAGTGTTTTTATCTACAAACAGAATTCCCTGCGTCAGCTAAAATATTGCATTAACATTTGGTTTCATGTGATTAACTGAGCTGGAAGTGGTGACCAGCCTGGTCATGTTAATTTAAGACACAAAAAACACTTGTTGAACTCTTAATCACAATTTCAACACTCCACTGATTAAAGTGACTTTAGCAAACACTGTGGACTAATAACAGTGTGTTGACCAAACCAGAACAGCTCCATAACAAACAGCAACACAGTAAAAAAAACATATCTACAAACCTCATGATGCTGGTTCGGAACATCCAACTTGAAACCTGTCCCAACACGGCGAGGCACCTGAGGAGCTTTCTCACCCGTGGCCAAGGGATATTCTTTTGGCAGTTTGCCTGTGAGCTTCTGCAGAACAAAACCCAACATCAGTCTGGATACTCCGCTCTGGAATCTCCATCAAAAACCAGACATACTTACAGCTTCATCCATGCAGATACGTTTTAGGTCTTCAAGTTTCTGTGTCAGTTTATCCTGAAGTTCCTTTTGCTTCTTTTTTAATTCAGCAATCTTTTCTTTCTTCTGCTCTTCACTGACTTCTGAGTCTGCAGAACCTGGAATACAAATATTCCAGATAAACCACTGCCCATCACCATAAATCATCCCTCAAAAACCTGCTGTAAAATTATGAACTGTGAATACCAGTTGAAATGAGGCTGCCATTACTGGCTCTGATGAGCAGATCATTGTTCTCAATGCTGGACAGTTTACTGATCCTTGGGGCGCTGATCGCAGTGAGGTCCACTGCAATGTCTCCTGAGCTTCTAGTTGTGGTCATGTTGACCTGTGAGGAGAAGAGACAGAGGAGATGAAATAAGCTGGAAAATAATCGATGCTAAACTGAAACTGAGCATTTCATGTTAAGGTATTTAAAAGTAAATTGTATTTTAAAGTCAACACATGTAGGGACCACTAAGGCTGTGAGAGAATCACACACTGAGCACATAACAGGAAGGCCAAATAGAGCCGGTACTACTGCCCTGTTTGTTTTTGCAATATATAATCTATGAGAAAAATACACAGAAAGACACTGTTTGTAATTCTAGCCAAGCTAATTTAAGATAGCTTCTAATTGTCTTTTTTTTTTTAAACTAAATTAAAGCCATGTATTATAAAGAATGCTCTGACAGAAACGACTATGGTCTGTTACTGGCAGGATGGCTTTGATTTTTTTTTTTAATGATAGCTTCTTATATAACTTCTAAGAGAAGAAAAAAAAAAAGAACCCAAGTTGCATCAGTGTTAGCTGCATATTGCTTCCTAAAAGCCAGAGATTATTGCATCTTTAATAGAACCCGACCGATTAATCTTCATCTCTCTCATGGAAACAGTTTGATAGGGTGCATTAACGAGAGCTGACGAGTTTTATATTGCTAGTTTTGGCTAACATATTAGCATTTTATCTCTGTAAGTTTTAGCTCTTTGTGAAATACACATAGTTTTAGAAGGAAAATAAGATTATTTCATTAAATCCACTTGGTTGTAGGCAACTGTTTTTAAAGCATTTCTTCATGTTTTCTCTCGGAAAACACGAAAAGTACAACAGTAAGATTTTCACCAATACAGACATGTAAGACATCGTTAAAAAGCTTGGATTCTCCACAAGTTAACCGAATTTTATGGACACAGCGAGGACAAAAGCACAATTAACACAAATATAACAGCATGTCGAAATGTAAAGTAATTCATTTCACAGGCAGAAGGGAACAGTCAGGTATGGAGCCACAGATTTGAGGCATAATCTAAATCAGCACCACGAAAATTTATTGTATTTATAGTCTTATGTTGACATTGCTCAAATTAAAGTTGTTTAATTCTATACTTCTAGTTCTTTGTCTTGAATCATGTTTTTGGTTATTATGGGAATTTGAGTTTGACTATATTTGGACAGTGCATATCCCATGTATTTCGCATATAATTTGTTTAAAGCCCCCAATATCTATATTGGGCTTCAAAATCCTATACCTTTGACTGCTTATCTTTCATCAAAACTTCTAACTTGATCTGGACAGTAAGAAAAAAAATTCATAAAGTTTTAAAGAGGTAAAAACCTTGACTCCTTTTCCTTTTTTTGGGTAAAGTTGTTAAACAAACACAGTCCTTCACAACTAAAACATTGGTGTTTTGGTTTTGCCACTATGTAGCTGCTTTTCTTCTTTTAGATGTTTATCTGAAGATGGGCAGGAAACTCATGAAGTAAGATTCATTATATGTGCCGTTTATGAGATAGTTAGGAAATACATGATGGTGAGAATTCAAGCTGAAATCCTGGTCAATACCTTTACTCATATCTTCACTGACAGATGTAGATCAGAATAATCTGATCACTCTAGGCATTACATCCAGTGTTTCTACTCGGACTCAAACAAAGTCTTTGATCAAACCTGAGGTTATTTATTTTACAGTCAGATGGAAACAGGCCACCACCATAGATGAAATCAGACTAATTCTGTGAAATGAACTTCCTTGTACTGACATTCTGTTTGACAATCCAGAAACATTGTGTGCTGTAAGTCTCTGTGCTGCTTCACAAACATCCACCTGGGCTTGCAGTGTAGCCCTTATTAGGTCATTCACTGACTTCCTTCTCTTCCTCATAGACAACTACACCCAAATAATATCCTTGGTCTTAATCATAACTAGATCATACCACATCTCAGCCCATGCCTTAACCCAAACAACAAACAAACAATCCTAAGCACAGACTGGCTGACCCATACAGGCCACCAAAAACCATGAAAGCTCTCGGACTGTCTCTTATAGTGTCAGATGTGCGGGTAACATCTGTAAAAGTTGAGTCTAAAAAACATAAAAACTTACTTTGGTTTGTTTCATGTTCAGGTAGAACTGGTGCTGACTAATGGCATTTGCCCAGATGGTTTTGATCAGAGAGTGGCTGGCATACCAGGAGTGAATAACCAGGCCGGCTTGTCCAAATGTTCGCTTGGTCACTGTTCTTCTGTACAGGAAAGAAAATACAAACAGAGGAAATCTTTAACCTGCTGTTCATACATCTTATCTGATTAAATTTAAAACTCCATTTAGTGTTAACAGAGGAAACAATCAATTTTAACCCAAGTGAACACAATTCATACAGCACTCAGGAGAAGACTGGCAGAACCATGAAGCTTTAACAGCTTTAGTAGCTGAAAGCCTCAAACTTAAAAGCTGTTTAAGGGACAGGATTCTTTTAGCAACCTGAGAATAAACAAACTGCTTTTGAGGAGCAGGAAACCCCCCCACTAAAAACAGGCAGGCTTTAGCTATTAACAGTGGGTTCTAAATGGGCCACTGGCTGTAGATGCCCTTCACAATGACGGCACATCAGAAACGAGGGTAGCAGCTAAAATAGAAGCACTTCAGGAAACAAGGAAAGCATCTCTTCAGATCAGTACAGATAAATGAAGCGGCCTGTCTGCTGACCTGTGTGGGTCGTTCACTTCTACTGCAAACTTCTTTTCACGGAAGTACAAATTCTCCAACTGCTTCCACTGAAACAACTGTGAAGCAGAAAGAGAAATGGTTAGACTGACAGGGGGTGGGGCAGCAGCAGAGGAGTTACATACCACTGAGTACACAAGCCTCGAGTATTGACTGAGAAGTGGGTTTGCAGAACATCAACATTAAAGTCATCTGATGCACAAAGGCTGTTAAACAAATATACTCTGAAAAGCTGGATGTCCTGTCACATGAGGGAAGAATTTCTCTTAAAGACAACATAGCAAAAAGCAAATATTAAAGGAACGTGGTTCATTTTTGAAACTGCAGCAACCTTTGGAGCAGTTTGCAGATGTCATGAGCGGAACTCATTGTGCCAGATAGTCAGGTGTCAGTGCAAACTTCCATGCACATGTTTTCTTTAGGCACTAAAGTGAAGAATAAGGGGGCTGGCGCCTATCTACAGTGGCCAATGGTCCAGAGCAGGGGTACACCAAGGAAGTTCACATTAAGCAGTTCCAGCTACAGGGAGCCAATCTTAGCCAGACACAGAGTCAGGTTCTCATTTTATTTAGTGGTGGAGGTGGAACGAGGCAGAACTCGTCTCAGAAAGAACCAGCTGAGCTTGCTAAATGGATCAGGGAACAATTAGCGGGAAAAAAAACAACTTCTATTAAGAAAAATGGGATTTACTTTATGCCAACAAATAAATATGCAATTTAATTTTGTAGGTAAGAATTCTCTGAAAGCTTTGAAAGCAAATTTACACTAACAGAGACACCAAAGATATCCTCAGCTTCAAATGCAAATGCCGTATTTACACTAACAGCAACACAGCACTTATCTTAGCGGAACACAGATAAACTCCATCACAGCACTCTAAACCCTTTCAGATATTAAAATGGCACAACCTAAAATACTAAATCTGCTCGGGAGTTAGATCCAGTGGGATAAATCATTCCTGCACAGTAGCAGGTCTTACCGTGGAGGATATTTAGTCTCAGATCCTTGAGGAATTCTCTCTGTTCATATTAAATCCTTTTGACTGTGACTTTCCCACAGGGCTAGAGCTTCATCTAACAATACTCTCTTGTCTGTTCTCAGGGATTCAGATAGGTGTTGTAAGTTTCAGCCGAGGTAGCCCCGCCCCCCTTAGCTACAACCCCCTCCTCCCACTGACATCACTGACAGCTCATTCTACCTCCAGCTTTTCAGTGGGCTGGAGGCCTGATTTCCTCCTCCTCTTTCTCAGTCTGACCTGATGAGCAGGTTGTGTGCCGGTATTTACTGGGTTTGGCTTTTTCCGTGTTTGGGGACATTTAAACCCAGCTCAGCTTCAGCTCGCCCATGCTTTAAAGACTTAAAGAAACCGTTTTCAACTTAGTGAATAAAACACAGAGCCTCAATCTTTATCTGAATTTGAAAAAGTATTGAACCCTTTAAACCTTATTAAAATGTCATGTTATAAAAAAAAACATAGCTTAATATATGACATCTTGATTATAAAGTATATGACAGCATGACATTTATATATAAAAACAGCAACATATGAGGAGAAACATACTAGACAAGCTGAGCTTGCCTTAGATTATAAAGTAAAATCTCAAGGTTTGAACAAGGGCACAGCTGCAAAGTTATTTAGCTCCAGTGGGATAGGAAATTAGCCCTGTTCCACATACATTCACTTTTTTATGTAATAGAAAGAAGTAGAAAGTTTATTATTTCTAGTTTGCCGTTTTAGGTATCAACAATGGAAGAAAAAAGATCAGACAAATATCTTTGGACCAACATGCAAAGTGTCGAAAATATAAGACAAGAGTCTGAACACACATTCTCCATGGTAAAACGGCGATGGCAGCATCATGCTGCGGGGATTGAAGAAGCTAAATATGAAGTAAACCTGTGAGCTGCTGCAAAGGACATGTGACTGAGATGGAGGCAAAACCCAAACATACAGCTAGAGCTAGCCAGCTAACGATCCGGGGCAGAGCATTTTCCTGGCTTAGAACAACGACATATCGGACAAAATCCCCCCAAAATAAATCAAAGTTTGTGGTCACAATTGTGAAAAGGTGTAAGGGGTTTGAATACTTCATTAAGGCATCTGTAATTATGGTATCATCTTTGATTACAGCAGCTTAATTCAGCTCAACATTAGGACATTTTCTCAGTGAGCACAACCACTCCAACCAATAAGATCCTGCTACTTTGAATACTGGAGCAGGTTTAATATGTTCTATCACAACATTATGGATCAGCAATTGTAATGCAAACTTCAATTCTCAGGGAACTGTTGGTGAACAAAGAGCTTAACCTATTGAACCATAGGAACCAGGCAGCAGGATTCACCCAAAAACCCTACTGTCATTGGTAAGGATTCTCACACCAATTCACACATGCTCCTCATTTGCATAATAATAAGAGAGTAGAGAACAATAAACACTTTCATACTGGATCAGCAAAGAAGCAGCACTACTGTGAAACTAATACAATCCAGTCCCTGCTGGAAAAGCTGCTGCTGAGATAGTCAGTGAAGAGACACACCTAAAAACACTGGTCACAAGACTACAAGCAATCTCCTTATTGGAAACAGTCCAAGAAGTCATCCTTTGTCTTCCTGTGTCTCTACACCATCATTTCTAAATACATAACTTTCTTAAACTAAATAAGTGAACAGGGGACAAAACGCACACCTCTTTTCTATGTACGTTGCTTTTGTTGCCAAACATCTAATTAGAGAAGTTAAGCAGAAATGCCTGTGGTTTCAGGATGAGATCAACATGTTCAGATCCAGCTACACCCACAACCCAAAGACCCCCAGGGCCACTAATCTACCTATAAGTCATATATAGACGTTTGATTTATGAGCCTGATCAAAAATTAAAAATGTGTCAAAGGTTGTTTCTAACTTGCTTGTGCAGAGTAAGATCAGCCCCTCCTTTCACAAAGCACGTCACATACCAGCTCTGGCTGCACGGCTACACTGTACATTTCCAGAGAATGACACATAGATTCAAGTTGTGAAATCTAGACAATGGCAGAGGAACTGTCAGATGAGTTATCCAGAAATTATAAATCAGAACAGGTTTCTTTCAATTATTTTAATTCTGTAGCAAAGATTCCTTCCAAATCTCTGATAAGAAACTAAAGCAGGGTCTTATTTAATGCCTAACACTAGCAGGTTGTATTTGAGACTATCGCATTACATAGTTTCACAGCCCCAGTGGCAAAAGAAAGAAAGGCATGTCATAAATTGCTTTAAAACTGAACAACTTTCTGTTTCAAGACACACAGGAGTTTGTAGATAGGATTTTATATCAGCTTTGAGCATTTCTTAGTTTGCGGTGAGAAAGCTTTAGCATTTAGACGCCGTTTTCCAACCTAAAAATAAGTTTAAAAAAAGGAAAAATTTTAATATGCTTTAGATATTTATGTGCAAAAAGAACCTTGGACAATTAGCCCTTCTGCCAATACATGTCTCCTTTCTGTATTTACATATCACACTTTCATCGCCCTCAAAATCCTCCAAAACATACCAGTAAACAGGCCACTGCTTACTAATAAATACTGAAAACACTGAATACAAATGAAATAAAACAGAATAGAAAGTTTGGAATTTGAAAATGTGTATTTGTAAACACTTTACGTTGAAAATGATGGAAAATATAATTTAAACACCCACATACATCCCAAAACAAACTCAGTGTCTATTACATCAGTTATTTTGGAAATAATAGCAGAATTAGTCACATATTATAAAATCATTAAAGAATTATAGAAAATTAACCAGCAGTTTGCAATCTGTGGCTCCTGAGACGCAATTGGCTCTTTGGAACTTTCTCAATGATGCTAGATAACTTTGGCTAAAAATGATAAACAAAATTATAGTTTTAATATACAAAGTTGATTAATTAAATGCAGGTTTCAAGATAATTGCATTCTAATATTTGCATTATAAGAAAAGCAACTTTTACTTTTAGGTAGAGCAGTGGCTCTGGGGGTCTTTGGGTTGTAGATCTGAACATGATGATCTCATATATATATATATATATATATATATATATATATATATATATATATATAAATAATTGCATTATATATATAGTCAAATACATCCAAACACAAACTTTTTTTGTCAGTGTGCTAAATCAATTTAAGCTAATTATTTTTGTTTATATATGATATGATCTCACCATCAATACATTAGTTCTTACTTATCACTTTTTACTAAGTAGAAAACAAAACATCTGTAGTATTTTAAAGAACATTCATTTTATTTTAGTGTAAATTGTAGCACAATATTTGTCCAGCAATCTAAGAAACATTGTTGTGAACTGACATTCCATTACTAATAATCCTAAACTAAGAACAGTCTCAGCACCCCAAACCAGTCCTGATGACTATTTTCTATTGTTTGATAAATTGCCTTCTCTCTTGTAGTGATGAAAGCCTCCTGCTGAGGAGGGCTGGCCACAGGCGAAGAAGTTACAGAATTAAAGCCAAACCAAAAAGCTCTGTCCATACTTCCCAGAAAACTCTAAGCTTAGGAGATAGAAAAAGCCCATTTTGGTTTCTATGGGGCATTCCAGCCCCTCAACACTTTCACTGTTGCATTCACCCCCCCTCAGCACCGGGAAGAGGCCAACTGTGTCTCTGCCCGTTAATGACTCAGAACCTGGTGTAATAGCGCACCCTGCTATGTCAACAGGTTCCTGCCATACAGCTGAAGCTTCCGTGAGTCTAATAAACAAGGCCTAGGAGGGATGAAACAACACTTTCCTGAAAAAGGCAGCAAAGACAGAAACAAATAAGATATTGCAAAAGAGAGGGAAGGGAGATTCAACAAAAAATAAATGTCATCAATTAATTTGGGTTATTATAAGATTGCTAAAGTCAGTTTAAAACCTCCACACGCATCATATTGTCCTTATTTTAAAATATCAAAGCTGATCAAAGCTTCCTCAAGAAACCAGCTAGAAATTGAACAGGGAAATTTAGTCAGGGCTGCTGACCTATCATAATAAAATACTCATTGAAGTGATGTCAGTACACAAAAGACACATCTACATTATATTTTCATTTTTGTATTTCCTTCATAAACGTACCAAGTTGAGTTATTCTCTTATCACTGGGGTTGTTTTGATGGTATTGATCCCCTCTGTTTGCTCTGACACTTTCAGCTTTCCAAGTGACTCACCAGACAAATTTGCCACCTGTTTTCTGCTTCCTCCTCGCATGAGAACCAGAGGCCTAACTATGCCTATTTAGAATAGCTATAAATCATTGATCTTTTAACATAAAACTGTAAAGTTTATGTAATGGCTTCCAGAGAGGCTAAGTATTTTCCTTCATCTACTTTGATCTATTGTTATCGGGGCTGAATGTTGCATTTAAGAAAGCCCCACAGCACTTCTGTTTGGAAACTCAGCTCAAAAGTTAGTCCAACAAATATATATCCCAAGACCTTAAACTGCTTTCTGCAAAAAATGCATTTGAAAAGTAAAGAAGTAATGAGATATGTTCTGAAATTGAAAGCTTGAATAAATGAGAAAATTAGAGCAGCTGTGAACGACTCTACCTTTCTTGGTTTCAGTTTATCCTGCAAATCGTACTGGCTGATGCCTTTATAGCTGACTCCAAGCCACCAAGGTATTCCTTGCTTGTCCTGCATGAAAGCGCACACAAACAGAGCACAACAATCATTAGGGTCTTTTATTACCAGCTCTATTATCTCATTAAGATCACAGCAATGGTAATGCAAGAAGAGATCAAATACATTAAAGGTCTTAAAACCAATCTGCAAAGCTGACTGAGCAATTTCAGCACTACTGTTTGATCTTTTTCCAACTCCTTAATTTAATAAAGTCTGGTAGGAATAAGGCCAATTAGCATATTCTCCTAAAACTTACAAAGCAGTGCTGAATATATTTGACCAATTAAAAGTGATTTTAGCACCAAGAATTAAATAAAGTGTGTAACTACAAAATTCAGTGTATTTTACTTGGATTGTATGTGATGCTTTAATGCAAAGTCCAGCATAAATTTCACAGTGGTCTGAATCTTTAGGTTTTTCTTAAACTTTTACTCTGATATCCTAAAATAAAACAGTGATTATTAAACAAACAGCATCAAGGAGACCAAGGAACACAGCAAATCACATAGAAGCTTAGAAAAACTCATTAAGAATTATTGAGACCTTCATCTGAAAATAAACAGATCAAAGTTTGTGAAACAACTGCAGACCAACCAAGACATGACCGTCCACCTGAACGGAAAAACAGAAGGCCTGGGGTGGTGAAATAAATAAATCGGGAGTCTGCTTAATCTATTCAAATCTATTAGTTTCATATAATCATAGAGAATATACTACTAAGTTCACTTTATCTGGATAAAAACTGAATCATTCAGTTTAATTTTCCTAAGTAATGGGTCTCCTAAAAATGGAAATGACCCATGAGGTCAGAAAGATGTATTAAAAACCCAGAGCAGTGGGTATGTTGTCTCGTTGCACTGAAACTGTTCCACAAAACACACATGAAGATAAAAGTGAAACGAGACAAAAAAGAAAAAAATTTTGTCCGTTATGCTAAAATCAGTCCGCTAACACTACAGTTTTTTTGTAACAAATTATCACTTTGTCGGAACATGGTGGTGGTATTATCAGGCATAAGGTATATTTTCTTTAAGCAGAGACATGAAGGTTGCTTAGAAACGATAAGGATCCCTTTGCATGCACAATCCTTATTTGTTAACAGTTCTAAATAAATGTGTCCTTTTTCTTCCACTTCACGACTACATAATATTTTGATTTGTTAATCACATTATATTCCATTGAAGCACATTTAAGTAGTGATGTGACAAAATGTAAAACGTTTAGGTTATAAAAACAGTTTTTGAAAGGCAATGAACTACTGTTGAAATGTAAAAGTGGTGAGTATTCTGTTACCTTCACAGGATAAAAATGAACTCCATATGTGGGCAGAGATTCCACCAGGGCCAGATATCTACAATCAGAGGGACAGGTTAACAGGCATTCAGCTACTTACACTTCATCATTGTCACCTGATATCTGTACAACAACTGACAGACGAGGCTTTAAGGCCCAGGCAATGAGAGGCTGCAGTCATTTTACAACGACAAGCTGATCGATTTGCTTTGGGGCTGTGACTGAGGGAGGGAGAGTCCATTGATCACCTCAGGGACAGAAATCATTTGGACCAGTGGAAAGCACGGCAGAGGACTTACACCCTCCCAAAGCTGGCAGACTGCCTACTATAGAAGCAGCTTTTCTAATTAATGACAGTCTGGCATGCTGACAGCTGCCTCATATAACTACAGCCACCGCAGTGCAAACACGAGGTTAAAGAGGATGAGCTGATTCAGACTCTGGGGACAGAAAAACAGAGGCAACACATATATTCTATTTGTTTTCTTCAACTTACTTTACGATGGCTTGTCCTCTGGTCACTCCCTTCAGTTTCTTGTAGTGTTCAATCACTCTCTCTTCGCTGCGGATGAAAGGATAAAACGTTTAATGAATAATCCATCAAGTGTAACGCATTTGTGGCCACAGTGGGACTTTGTTGAGAAGGCTCATTCTTTAAAACACGTTTAGCCCTCTCATGCAGAAAATGCAGTCTAAGCCCACTGGCCTGCTGATAACTTTCATCTGCTAAGCATGCTAATGCCTCCCATTTCTGTAATCAGTTTTTTATAGCACAGTGACTGCCCACAGCAGCATCCCCAACATAAAGATAGAAGTAGATATATGGTGATGTTCCCACTCATTCCCAATAAGACCCTAAACTTTACTAGAATGTTGCACTGATTTATCTGCTTGATATCAGCAGTGCCGTTTCACATGAAGAAGCAGAGAGACAGGCAGCAAATTAACAAGGGACAGACAGATCAATAGCGAGAACAATCGGATGCTGTTAGCACCCCTCGGTGTTCTTTTGGAACTAATGAGTAAATATAATTAACAAAGTTCACAGTCCAGTCAGCCCATTTACAACAAAAAACCCACCATCCAAGTAACAGGTCTGTAAACACCAAAACTGCTTTGCTCTGGATGTTACAGCTCTGCAAAACAGCTGGTACCTGACCTGCAAGCTTTTATCGAAGGGAGTTCTCAGTGATTGCAGCTTATAGGATATTAAATCATTTCAGTTGTAGTCTTTCAATATGCAGTAAAAAAGGATATCCTGATCTGATTTGGGTACAAAGTGAGGGATCTTTAAAATATATTTGACTAAACTCAACATTTAACAGATAATATCAGTCTGAACCATCAATACGCTATGCTCATGATTTTATTGGACAGTTTTTAAAAATGATGGCTAATTTTCATGTAAATGACCTGCAGTGTTTTTTTTGTTTTTGTTTTTTGTTGTTGTTTTTTTGGCCCTGCAGTTGTTTGATAGATCTGAAGCACCAAACCAAATAACATAATATTGCAAAAAAAAGTTTTAGGTAATTAAATTGTGTAAAGACCAACAATATTGTGGTTGTGGCATTTATGTTTGGTCTCAATATCCAGACATTTTTAGAGGATTTTTCTTAACGTCTGGGCTAAATACCAAAAACAGCAGAATAGCTTTAATTATTTATTTATTTCCACATTTGTCAAATATCAGATTTAAGAGTAAATCAAGGAAAATAGTAAACAGATGGTGCAGTTGTTTTTTGAGCATCTTTAGTTAAAGAAAGTTTTAGCCATTCCCAGAATAGTCTTATTTAGAAATCAGATGTAGATTGGCTTCCAGCTGGTAGTGTGATAGAATCATGCAGTAGAAATATACTATAAATGACCGCTTATAAAAGCATCCAGATTAGCTAAGCCGAGGCCTTAAGAGTTTTTCATCATTCAGTGTGAAATGCTGAGTAACTTAAATACTACCTCTCTCTTTGTGAAACTGGGCTTTAAGTGCTAGTTGATAGATTTTGCAACATTCAAATTAAACATTTCTTGTTGTACTATGTTTCAAAACTGGTGCATTGATTTTAATAAAGTACCAAATTAAGATTTGGTATTAATAGTTGCCTAATCTTAGGGCTGCAGCTATTGATTAGCTTAGTAACTGATAAATGTAACAATTTTTCACTTGATCTAAAAAGAGATGGTTTTAGAGAATAAACTAACTTAAAGTTTTTTTTACCTTAAAAAGAAGTCATGAAAAAAAAAGAACTTATTGAACAGTTTAAATACATTGTAAATGTCAAAGGTCAAGAATGCCACTTCAGGGTTTTCTGGACAGATTCTATTTACAAAGCGATTTACTCTTCCATTAAATGGATATTATTTTGACTGCTACATTATTTGGTATTTATTATTTTAGTAATCAGCTAAGCACGATGAATCAGATTAATTCTTCCAGCCCATATTCTTATTTGACTCAGATCAGAATCGGGAACAATGAAAATGTCTATGAAATCAATTATTTTAACAACTCAACTTTTTTTTAATATAAATATATAATTTTACCAGGTAATAAAAAAAATTAAAGGATAAAATATAGGCTTCAAATAGCACCGGTTAATGAATGGTGATTAGAAATGGCTGAGACTGTTTTGAGCAATTTGTGAAACAGTCCTGATTGGAGTCTGACCTTGCAAGTATTACATAAGATCCTGCTGCGGCACTGAATGAACTCCGGTTGTCAACAGGCTGCTCAGAAACACGTAGACCACTACTCCCCTGTCACGCTTTAGGTGGCCAAAAAAATTTTCCTTATGACTAACCATATATTCTTAATCGAAATATTGGGGCGGGTTAACTACAAACATAACCTGTATATAGAGCCAGTTTATAAAGCTGAAGCTAAAGGAAGAAAATAAAAGTGACATTTTGCTGGAAAGCCTGAACAGCAAAGTGCAGAGAGAGCTTTACGGAAAAAAGCATTATCTCAATAATCCCTCTACATCTAATATCAACATATGCCTTTAACTCTTAATGCTAATTTACTATGTTGTGTTACAGTTCCTACTCATAGGTGCAAAGATTAAATGTCAGCTAAGGGCTACATTTTAACACATAATGTATGACTCTTTTTTTGCAAATACTGTAGTAGTAAACAGGAAGTTCTATACTCCTGTTCATCAAATTATCAGGTTTATCTGCTATTTTAGTCGTGCAATGCAAATCATTTCAAATACAAAACAGATGACTGATTGAATGGTTGAAATGGTGGCAGACAGAGTAATTCAGGTCTAAAGAAACATGGCTGCTGCTATCTGTGGCTCAGTTGTGGTCTTGGGAGCTGTCTGCTTTCTTGCTTCGAAATCATTGGCTGGTTTGTATTTACAAACCCATAGAGATTACAGTAACCTCTTATTACCTATATGCATTGTACCAATCAAAAATACGTGTTTCATTTGCTCATCTTCCAATACTGGAGATTAAATAGTTCCAAAGTGTGAGAGGCTTTTCAGCTTAATCTGCCCTGAGCTGTAGCTGCCAGGAAAAAACTCAAATAAAGGAACTACACCATAACAATGTCCACTGAAAGCTCCAAAGAGGTGATAAAATGTCATGTTGGCTATGTTATGCTTTACTTATGTGTTTAAATGAAGCTAAAAAGCTGTAAGTAGCTAAGAAGTAAACTGTATGTAGTATTGAGATTTTTTTATGCAAACAAGATAGAAGACGCAGCATCAATGTTTTTAAGCAGATTTTGAATCATCGAACGAGAAGGAGCTTGAAGAAAACTGCACATTTTAAATTATTTCACAAAAGGTTTTCACACTTCCTTATGTTAATTTCTGACTTTAAAAAAAGATAAGGAATGCGCTTAAGAGTTGATAGAAACACTTTTATTGAATAAGTTCTGATGTAACCAACATTTACCACCCATGACTGATAAGGTCTTTCCGCTGCCAGCATCATACCCTCACTGTAACAATTACTATTGCATTTCTTTCTTGACGTTTTTCAATAGCATGTAAAACCACTAATACTAGCTGACATAATAAACAAAGTACAACTTGCTCAATTGCAACAAATTCCTTTAAACTTTGCTCTGTTAATGATCCGTGGTTGGTGCTAGCCTGATACCTCTACTTGCACTTTATTGCAACAAAGGTAAACATCAATGTATGGCAACATTACACTTTGCATCGCCTGGTTAATTCACTCCAAACCAGAATGACACCTGCCTTATTCACAGTTTCTGTTTTTCTGAGAATAGGACGGAAACACCTATTGGAGTTAGAGAGAGAACAGGAACAGGAAAAACACATGGAGACAGTTACTAGTAATTGGCTATAACTTACACTCTCTCTCAGACACACAATTACATTGCTTAGAGCCATTATATAAATGATTTCCTCAAGCAGGGAGACTAGAAAAAAAAGGCAGCAAAGTGTAGTTTTCAAAAATAGATATCAGAAACAGCTGAAATCAGTATTTACAGGAAGGTGCTTCTCAGAAAGATTAGGAATGGGCCACACAACTTTGGTTTCTACTTTTCTTTAAACAAAGGGAAACTTTATTATAGCAGCTGTTTTTTGCTAAGGAACTGAAATCAGGTTAGCTTCTAGTGCTTTTGGGGTTCACGTATCTTACCAGTAATGAAGTGAAGGATGCTCCCTCAGTACTCTGGTGGGCAGAACTGGTAGCTGCTTCAGGTCTGACACTGCAGTCTCAGCACTGGAGAAATAGATACAGAAACTTAAAAACGTAACATATATAATTATTCATCATATACTCAAATGCAAGAAATGCACTCACACAACAATTGCTGTGTGAGTGTCCCTTCTCAACTGATCATGGTTTGTCAACAACCAATTAATGGAAGTTCTACTTTTTGTGAGTTAAAAGGTATTTTTACATCCGTTTATAATCCTATAAGAGCAGAACATGTGGACAGCAAAAGGCAAAGGTTTATGTAAAAGATCTCAAGCCAAGTCCAAAAATTTGACTATTTCTCCACATGTTCAGGGAGCTTTGATTTCTTATCTGAAGGCACAGCAGCAATAACTCTTATTTTCAATTCTTTGTGGAAAGGTGAAACAACAGAGGATTTTGTTGTTTTTTTTCTTTTTCTTTTTTCAATATCAAGTATAAAGAAAATGACTGCCTGCCAAAGTTAAACTTGACTTTTACTCATGTCTTGCCAGAGCTCCGTTGCAAACCCTTTGACTCATTAGAGGCCTTTCAGAGAACAGAGAGAAATTTTTTAAAGGCTGCAATTGCTTAAACCGCGCTTATCCTTATAGAACCATCCTTTGAACTGGCCTTAAATTTTCTAATGACTTTTTAGACATGTTCATTGGTTAAGTTATGGTTTGTCCATGCATAAAAATTTTTTTTCTAAATATTCGTCGACAGATTGCATAACTGGATTTTGTAGCTCTGCAGCAAAAACTAAACAAAAACACTTCTTAAAGGAAGTAAATAAACCAAGGAGTAGAGATTCTCAATAATCCAATTGTTCTGCATTAACTTGGGACCAGGATTGCACTAATCAGTTCCTGTGGTAATGATGATAGAATCTAGTAGCTGTTGAAGGATTAACCCAAGAATTTATAGTGTAGCAGGGATGCATACTTTTGCCATTTCAACTACTTTACACAATTTCTTCATTATTCACAATTTTTAAATGCTTTGTAAATGTTGTTTCAATACATGACTGAATGGAAGTTGTTGTATAGCTTTCAAATTGATCAAACTCACCCCACCTTCTCTCAGACACTAGCTGTGTTGCCTGGGTGTTCAGACCACCATGAATAAACCATGGCGCGTTCATAAAGGTGGATGTAGCCTCATAACTGGGAAACCAAAGCCATTTCCTTTTACGGCTTCTTAATGAATTTAAGCTAAAATACTAAACTTTAGAGGCTATTAGAGGAATGCAGATAGTGTACAAAAGAGTGAGAAAAAAGATTTAAAATATGTAGCATAGAGAATCTAGATCAATATTAAGATTACCTCCAAGCATACCCTGATGCAAAAAAAATAATAAATAAATAAAAGAAAAAAAGGACTGGTAGATTAATATAAAAGCCATTTATGTTAACTTTATCAGTCAATAAATCAGTTCATCTGTTCTCAGGAGAAGTAATGTAATTCAACATCCCTCCAACATGGAAAGGCAGAGATATAATGACCCTGTTATGTGGAGCTTCTATAAGGCCACTCTCCCCTGTAGCTCCCTCTCCTTGGCTGACTGGGTTTGCTGCCACGGCACTTGGCTGCTTGTTTGATGGCATACATTTTATGGGGAGCTCAGGCCCTGGTGCTGTTGGGGTGATCTACTCCGCAGCCAGGCTGCCGTGTCAGCAGTCTGGAATTCATTACTATGTCTGTTATCTTCCCGCAGCATGTGGGCGATTCCTACACCCGGTGCAGCCCAGCCCAGAGCAGTCTGCCCAGGGTGGGAGAGATAATACTCATGTGTCAGCTATTCCACAGGGCTGAGACTTGGGGACTTCGGAGGGAGCACAATGAGAGAGCAGGCTGCTGTGAATGAGCCACTAATTACAGGCCACACCTGCAAATAGAACTGTGGACAAAAACTGGGTGTAATGCTGCTGCGTGTGTGGGAAATCTCCATTCATACTAACTGAAGATCATTTCAAATCACAGGCAGTTAATATACATATGTAGTGGAATTAAAAAAAAAAACTCAGAACTAACACTACATTTCAGAGTGCTTCCAATTATAAATGAAGGAGAAAAAAAAAACCCAGTTGCTCTTAAGGCATAATTAAAAGCATCAATCAATTATTTTTTCCTTCCTTTTTCGTTGATCCTTTAAACCAACCCCCACAGAATAAACCCTACACGTTGCACTCAGCTGTGGATTATAGCTGCAGGTGGTGAAACCAATAGCAGTAAAGTGTGAATAAGTAGAGCATTGTAAGACAATGACCTTAACTGGGGAGTTCTACAACAGCAGAAGTACAATAAGCAACCTGATGGAGCATTAATTCAGTTCACAGCAGGGGTTTGGCCCACCCCACAACAATAACATGACTACAGTCAGTCCCCTTGACGCCAACTTGTCTGCAATTGGACAGTGGGTCCTGCTGATCCCTCTTAAGGCAGCTGGCTGGAGGAGGAGACCTCCCTGACTCCTCCACAGCTAATCTACTGCTCTAGGACCAGAGGCTGCTGATACAAGAAAGGGGAGACATATTTATACTGTATGATTCACGGGGGATTTTCTGGGCAAGTTTTCAGAAAAAAGTGGAAACAAAGGGGATCGCTGACAAGAATGCATAATACTGACACAGGACAATGTTTATAGTAGGTAAAAGGATCCAAGAAGAAAGATTATTATTACCCATTTGACAGTTTTCTAAACGACAAATAAGATATTATATTGTGGATCTGTTACAACACCAAGCTGTAGATGAGCATGTATTCATACCTCATCGACATCATCAAAGTTCTCCATAAAGAAATACTGCATTTGAATTTTGTCCGAAGTGTATTGGGATATTATGTAACAGACCATAACAAAGTAATATATAACCGTTGAGTGAAGGAAAATGATGCATGGCTTTCAAAACTGGCTTTCCTGTCCCTGCTGAAGAAAAGTATCCCAACATGATGTTATCTACACCACGTTTTACCATGAAGATTGTTTCAGGCGATACACATTAGTTTTCCTCCAGATACAATTTATTTGATGTTTATCTGTTAGACAATAACACTAAAAATGTAACCTCCTTGGCAGAGGTGAAATGACAGCGTAATTTGGATGTGAGTCGCTGTAATGAATTTAACCAGAGAACAGTTGGTGTTGTCTTTGATTGTTTTTTTTTAGACTCAGGACAAAGTACGGCCCATCCCAACACCCACATGAAGTGAAAGTTCAACCTTCACAGGCCGAACATTTAGAGCAAGCAGAGGAGTTTACATTTTAAAACTCTGAAAAGAAAATTTGAAGACACTGAAACCATTTGTAATAGTTACTTATCTGGTCAGGTGCACTCGTAAATAACTAATAATTGTTTAATGAGCTCTAGCATGTGCCGCCTGGCGGGATTTCTTTTCTGCAGGGAAACAAAAGCCTATGGTTCAACAAGAAGACAAACTGCATTTTCAGCATTGCACATTTCACCATTCAAAACTACATGCACAACATTCCTTGCTGTGCACAAATTTTTGTTTGCATAATGGACAGAGAGGCCTTCGGAGGCAGCGAGACAACACAGGTTCGGCTGCAGCAGTTTGCTCATTGACACTATCAGTCTGAGCAATGTTTACTACTGCCAGCTAATGCCCTTCACCTCTTAGACTTGTTAAAATAAAACATTGAACATTATCAGCAGGTCAAGCCCACTGTGAAAACAAAGTCACTATTAATGAACAGACCATGGAGGTTTTATACTGAGTCCAATCAAAAATACTGTGTCTCCTCAACTGTATGTCATTTATTGACAGATGATGCAATCACTACACGTTGAAAGGAATTGATTGTGCTCCACATGTTGAAGTTCATGTCTATCATTTCTCTGAATTCTCTGTACACCCACCTTTATTTGCAACTACAGCTGCAGGTTTTCATGGTTCTGTCTGTTTCAGCATTTTTATAGATGGGCATTTTCTATTGAGCGAAGCTAACCAAAACAGATTTCACATTCTGACATTTTTTTTAACCATTTCTTAACATTTTGGTCTCTTTAAATGCTCATCCAATTTAAAGTAGTGTTTGAGTGTGAATTGAAAAGAAAAAATAATGTGACTCTTACATTTTCCAAGAAATCAAAATGTAGGTTTGCCTTTTTAAAGCCCTGCACATCTAGATAATAACATTTTTTTTTCTTAAAATGAGAGCCTTAGTTTCCCTCCTAATGTCTGAGGTCTGTCCAAAACTTGAATATTATCCAATTCGATTGATTGACTTTATGGATCTCACAGTGGATAAATTTACTCGTTACATCAGTTCAAATAGTCAAAAAGAGAAGAAGAAGGTGCCAAAGGAAGAAAAAGGTACATGGGATATATACAGTATATATAATGGGTCCACATATGACAGCTTTGTTTTATTTTTGTTTTAGCAAGATTTAACTTCTTTATAGTAACTGTACGTTTAGGGTCACGTTTCTGTTGGAATGTAAACCTTTGCTACAATTTCAAATCATTTTGTAATCTCTAAAAGGCTATTTTCTAGGATCAGATTGCCCTTTATGAGGGCTACCCTTGTTTCCAGCAGCTCTTGCCAAAATCACTGTCCCTGTTAGAGGAAAAAATCCCCACAGCATAATGCTGCCACCAACATGTTTTGCACATTTATTGCCAAATGGAGCATTTTGCATGTAGTTCAAAAAGTACAAATCTAATATTACACCTGTGACCTTCCTCAACATCTTTGCAGCAAAACCTGGCTTTATTTTAATCCTGAAAACTGTGTATAATTTTTCTTCCATTTCATAATTTTGCCATACTTTTTTAAAGCTTATCCAACACAATTCTAATAAAACATACTGATCTGAGGGGTTATGATATATATACAGGAACTAAGATTCTGATGGGTTTAAATACTTTTACAAAGCACTGTTAACATGACGTAAATAATATGGATAGAGTCAGCAGAGTAAACAAGAGTTTAGCTCTGTCTCCAGACAAATTTAAGACAATTATTAACTGAGCGTAGGTTCAAGCTAAAATGAAATCTAAGCCAGTAAGGTTATACATTAACAACCATTATTTAGGATACCCAGTATTGACCAAACACTTCTTCCTTGTACATTAACACGAGAAATTGTGTAGGGCTTTTGTCCCCCCTCTATAATCCTATTGGTTAGCAGCATATGTCAATATTTTAGTTTGAACATAATCTATAAAGTAAAACAAAAAAATCACCAATTAACTTATTAGCCTAATTTACACAAACACATTTCTAAGGGTAGACTTTTTTAAACTTAAAACGAAACATTGATAAGAGAAACATAGATTTGAAGTTATGAGAAAGAATAATGGTTTCTTACCTGGTATAATCTCCCTTTGCCTCCTTAAAAAGATCAGAATAACTTAGTGATTAAACAGCACTTAACCACTGACAAGCTAGTACAATAATGTTAAATATCGGTAGCTTTCTACAAATGTTACAAAGCTGGCTATTAAAACTTACCTTTTAAGGTGTTTTTTCTTATTATTATTGAGTTAAACTTAAGTTTAACTTTATTTAAAAGATTTAAGCGCCCCCCCACCCCTTCGAAGGACAAACGTTTTCAAATGTTCAGCTCGTCCTCCTTTTTTCTCACTGGGGGGTGAGTGACATTAAAGCATGGAGGGACTGCGACAAAAAAAACTCTCTTACCTGCAACGCAAAGGCGGCTAACTTGAAAATATTGTCGCTCTCCACTTCAATTGTTTCCTGTTAGCAGAACAAATGAAAACGGCAGGCTTGTTAAAAACATGAAGCACAGCGCTAACTGTCTGAAACACTTGACTAGAGAGTAAACCCTCCCGTCCCATACTTCGAGACCGTACCTCGGTCCCACCGTTACCGACTGAACCACCGCGGCAACGACATTTCGGGGTTTAAACCTACTAAAAAGATGTTTTCTCTATTTTTTTGTGTGTTCTAAACATCATGGAGCAATCTATAAAAAGCAAAAATCACCATGAGGGACAGGCGGACTATTTTAAGGTTTTGTTCGAAGTTAAAGCCCCCTCGGTGAAGTGGTACGGTCCTTTAGCAGGTTCAACAGTCTCCGTCCCCATGGTGACCAGTCAGCTCTCCCCGCGAAAGAAAAAAACAGAACACCATGCAACGTTTGATCTCATGCTGCATTCAAGGGCGTCCCGTAAAAGTGTATTCTTCACTTGTTAGGAGATAAGTGTCGACTACCAACACCAGATATGTTTGTGTTTTTTCTGGAACCTTTCTAAGGTCTAAATTTATTTCATTTTCAGATTTTAGAGCGGGCATTTCTATTTAATTCAAAGACAGAATTTTAAAGCATCTATAGCACCTTAAATGTTGAACCCAAATAAGACAATAAAATTATGAGAAACTCATGAGATGTAAAATGGGATTCCCAAGACACAAACAACAACGTCAGATATATTTGTTTTGTATATAAATACCGTTAGTTCATCCTAAAAACTACTGAATTAAAAATCTAAAGTGCCAAGTACATAAAGTAAGAGTTGAACAAGTAATTACATATGTGGCCATCTAAATAAAACAGATGAAAAGAATAACAGTAATATATTTATGTAATTAATATTAGATTGATTTCTAAATAATAAATAAGCCATCAATAGAATCATCTTCTGTTCTACGAGCATTAACCCTTAATTTGATTTAAAGAATTACAAAACAGTTTTTGTACTATTTGCAAAGTGTGTAAGGTATTTTTTAAAGCCCATCTTGCACAGTAAAGCCATTTAAAATCTGTCATGTATAAAAATTGTTCAATCATTTCACAGGAGAGCAACCAAAAAACGTAATTGTGCAATAACATCCAACTTAAAAAACAGAAACAACTGCCATATTTGACAAATATAAGAGAAAAAAGTATGATATTTCTTAAAATAACAACTCACATTAAACACTAAAGTTTTAGCATTTAGGAAGAAAAGCTCCACCGTTGTATTCTCTTTCAACAGCGTGATCTTCTCGACATAAAACCTGTAAAGAGTCAATTTTTTATAAGCATAAATATTAATACATATGCATATATTCAGTATTATCTACAGATAAATAAAATGACTTCTGTTTCATTCTACAAAACATAAGTTGTGTTTCCTCACTGCCACCTGCTGGTTGAAAGATGTCACTGATCTTAAAGGGGCAAATAAAAATACCACCTAGCACTTGTACTACATAATGGAAATGCTTTAGGTTTGAATTAGATTGAACATAATATATATTGGAATGTTTTTTTTTTAAAAGGTGGGATACACAACCTCAATTTTATATTCATATAATTAATTCTCAAAATGCCCATCCATATTTAATTGCATTGCTTTTTATAATGTGCCATATGTAATGCATATCACCCATTGATTTCCCTATAACATCCAAAATTCTGTTATGGGGTTTGGTTTTAAGCAACCATAGATATTGTTACATACCAGCACAAACTTCCAAAAAGGTTACAAAGCTAGCAATCAAAATCTAAATTTCATAAGACTTTTTCCTGTCATTCATATCTATCATTGAAAGGAACAAAGACCATTCAGATTTATGCTACTTTGCTAGAATTAATCTACATTAATGCTGCTATGTATTTACACTCAGATTGGCTCTGTATCTCTGTCCACTTTTTTTCTTTTTCTCAAATGTAATTTTCAAAAAGTTTCATTTCCATTTTACTTGCTCCTTACCAGATGTGACTTAGCAGACAATAGAATGCATACGAGGTTGTGGCTCAATGTGAGAAAAAGTGAAGTAGCATAGAAAAGTGCAGCCCCTAGCTGGCCACACCTTTGCAGTCTTTCTGGATGTGATCCTGATTTTAGACTGCAGCATTTACAGCACTGTATTTAGAGATTTTTGAGACGGAAATGCAAAACCATTGGATTAAATCTTCTGGGTGTTACATAAGGCAAGCTTTGAAAGTTACAACGCTCACCTCACAAGAAACTTGAGTTCTAATTCCCCCGAAGTCTTGGAGAAGGCATGGTCAAGCACTTTACGATCCAGCTGGAGCCAGTTGTTCTGGCCGCTGAGCAGCAATGAGAAAATAAATCATACATCACATAATATTGCAATATCCACCCCTATCCTTTCTTATTAAAGAAAATCCATCTGCTCCACTAATGTAATACTCGTATCGTACTCCTCATCGTTTTGCTTACTTCCACATCTGTTGCAGAAGCAGTAGACTTCCCACACACCTCATCCAGCTCTGCTGGAGGAAGTTTAGATGTTCTCAGGGACTGATAATTTCAAATGGGCCTTAAAGAGCTAATATCCAGTTTGAAGCAAATCTAATCACCCTGACACTTCCAACCAGTGTGATGAAACTAGAAATCCTCCAGAGGGAGGCCTTCAGGGGGCATGCGAAAAAGACATCCAAGCCACCTTAGCTGACTCCTATTGATGTGGAGGAGAACTGGCTCTATTCTGAGACTCTCCTTGATGGTTGAGCTTTTCACCTTACCTCTAAAGGAGTGCCCAGCCACACTGGAGAGAAAGTTGATTTCAGCTGTTTGTAGTCTGGATCTCATACTTTTAGTCAAAATCCCAATTTCATGACCATAGGTGAGGGTAGGAACATATCCTGACTGGTAAATCGTCAGCTTTGCCTTTTGGCTGAACTCTCTTTTTACCACAGCAGGTGGGTTCAGCATCTGTATTATAGTGGCAGCCGCATCAATTCATCTATCATGCTTATTCATTTCCCCCTCACTCATGAACAGTACCCCAAGATACTTGAACTCCTCAATTCTACCAGGAATTCTTCTCAAACCTGAAGGGGGCAAGCCACCTATTTCCTGTCAGAACCATGGCCTCAGACTTGGAGGAGCTGATCCTCAGCTTCATACTCAGGTGGAAATAAACTCATGCTGTAGGTCTCAGTCGCGAAAAGCAGGAACAAACTCTGCTGGTCACAAAATCATATCCTTCAGGCCTGTGACTGTGCTTAGAAATCCTGTCCATAGATAGGAACAGGTCTGACTTAATGCCAGCAGTGTGGACCAAACTCCTGCTGCACTTGTACAACCACTGGGTGGTCCCTAGTAAAGGGTCCCTGACCCTAGTTCTCCTGGAGCTCCCCCCACAAGGCACCACTAGGGACACATTCAAATGCCTTTTGCAGTCCCACAAAACAAATTTGGACCGCCTGGGCAAACTCCCAAGCCCCATTGAGGGCCCGGCAGCAGGTATGGAACTGGTCCATTGTTCCAGGTCAGAACAAAACCCGCACCGATCCCCCCTGGGGCTGAGGTTCGGAAATCAGCCAAACTCTCATATCCAACAACCTGGCATAAGCCATAGGCCACTTCTTAGGCAGGGGAACCACCACCCCAGTATGCCAGTCTCCAATTGCCATGCAGTGTTGAAGATGTGAGTCAGCTTCGACAGCCCAACAACATCCAGCAACATAAGGTTCTCAGGGTGGATCTCATTCACCCTAGACGCCTTGCAACTGTGGAGTGTTTTGACTGCCTCCATGACTTAAGGCAAGGTGATGATTAAGTCTAGTCCCGAGCAACCAGTCTCTTCTGCCACCATGGAATGTGTATCAGTGGGATTGAGGAGATCCTCAAAATATCCCTTCCATTGTCTGACAATGTCCTCAATCAAGCTCAGCAGCTCCCCAATGACTTTCTTTATTGAAGGAAATTCAATTAAATTTCTACATTGTTATTTCTAATGTGAAAACATGTACTCACTTGTCATCTTCGAAGCACAACCCAAAATATTCCTTCTCCTTTAGGTTAAAATGAGACGCCACCAGATCTAACAGCTCTCGAGACAATAGCTTAGGCTGGATGGGTCAGAGGAAAATACAAGGGAAAAAGAGGAAAAAAGAAGGGAAACGGATCAACAAGTGTTAGAGTTTAAACAAAGAGAATAATATTTTCCCTAAAAATTAACCTCAAGTGTTAAGTTACCTGAACCAACAGCTCCAGCTTCCTGCCGCCAAGGAGGTGAATCTGAGACACACGGCCCTCTGTCATCTAAGGGAGCAAAACAAAGTACACTCATTGAGACAAAAAAAACAACAATCTCCAATTTTAATTTTTTATGTTTTAACTGAAGGCTTTAACCATATATTAGCTTTTGTTTTAATTTACAAAAATTCAAAGATTTGACAATGGTTTTTGGCCATGTGTCCTTATTTTTCGTCATCCTCCTCTCTTTTCCTCTAGTGATGAAACAAATGGAAACACAATGCCTTTTGCCTCAAGGCTCACTCAGTTTTTCTTGTAATGTTAAGGATAGATAGTCTATCCCACTAGTGCAATTAGAGAAACCCCCAAATGACCAAAAAATATTTTTCATACAGATTAAAAAAAGCAAGCCTTAGTGGGCTTCAAAATTGTCCAATTAAAAAGTATACCACATCTGCATAAGTATCTGTAAAAGCATTAATATTCCATACACATATAATAGGTTAATTGTCCAAAGTCTAATGGCTTTCCCTTTCAAAATATCTGATGTGCTTTTAATGTTTAATGTGAGACTGATTTCTTTTTTTTTGTACTAATAGAGCCATCTGCTGTCATAGAATGTGTCCACAGTGTCCCTTATTTCTCTGTTGACAGTAAAAAAGTTGATTTTAAGCTAATTAGTCTGTGTGCTGGAAAGTCGGCTTTATATTGAAGTCCAGTTACTTTGACCACAGGGGTGGAGGACGCCCTGTGGCTTGGTTTCTATGACGTGTTTTTCTCAACACCACAACAAATATGTCTTTATAGTTTACAAGCTGCTTTTCTACTTCATATTTTTCACCACCCAAAACCACAACAGGACGTCTCTGTGACCAGCATTCAACAACTTGACAGCGGTCATGCCAACTTAGCATAATGCTAACTATTTTCCCGAGGTCTCAGATGTAAAGGCTCTGTAATGCTCTGTGCTTCCAGGCTCTAAATGTTGAAGAAAGTATGTATTTATGTGCTATAATGATAATATATCTTGGTAAACACAATTCTGTTAACGAGATTCTTCAGAAATCAGCCTTTACATCATGAGCTACTGGTATTGATGGAAGCTGGATAAAGACCCAAATGCAGGGAAGAGGATGCAGAGATGAGTTTCCCGATTTAATGGGAAGTTGATGGCAACAGAAGCACAAATCCAGGAAATAATCCAAGAAATGAAAAAAATAAAAAACAAAGAAAAAAAAACAAACAGGAGATACCAGGGAGAAACAACACACGGGGAATTAAGCAATGAGGCAACAAGAACCCGGCACTGAAGAACTGCACAGAGAGAGTATATATGGTAAACAGAATAAAGACTGGGGTAATCAGCTGATACGGAGCAGTGATAGAAGTGACTAGAAGGGAGCAAGGCGAAAGGAAACTGGCACAAGGGGGCAACAGGGAGTAACACAAAAACACAACACTGGCAGAAAACAACTACAAAGACACAAAATTACAGAGAAACTAAAAATAAACCTAAACAAAGGGCAGGACCCTGACACAACCGTTCCTCCTAGTGCCAGTCCAATGACGGACCACTGCTAACCAGAGCCATCAATGGAAAAAGAGACGAACGCACTTTGTCAATAATGATTTTGAGTTAATGGCTAAAACAAAAATCCACATTCATTTTCAAAATGACTTGTGGCTCAAAATTGCAACCTATTTTCTTTAAGCAACAAGTCAATTGTTAAAGTATTCACACCAACGGAACCTTTCCAGGGGCTGTTTTTAGAACCACAAACATCAAGGTATTTTATTTGTATTCTGTGATAGATCAACAAAGTAGCACATCATTTTGAAATGGAAGGAGAAAAAAAAATGAAAATCTTTTTTAAATATGTTTACTTAATCAGAAAAGTCACCTACAGATGCTGTTCTTAACTGAACACCTTGACTCTAGTCACTCCCCAAAAAATATATTTGTAAACAACTGCTAATTAATTGTGCACTTCACAAATATGGCCTTTATGAAAGACTGTTAAGAATTAAATTGTTTAAATAAAGCAACGGAAGCCTAGGTGAAAGTTTAACATTTATCATAAATCAAAAATACTATAAATAATGCAATACTAGTACTGGATAGTCACCTGGACGCACAAGTCCTATGATGAAAGATATTAGTGGCAGTCTCATGCTGCAAGATTGCTTTTCTTCTGGCCAGAGCTGACAGCATAGATGCAAATATGAATGGTGCTAAATACATGAAATATCTTGGAAGCAAACCAGTTAGAGGCTGTGAATAATTCAGATGGGACAGATGTTCGACTTACAGAGGGAGATCTAACATAAACATACAGCCAGAGAAACAAAGTATGGTTTGGACTCCAGACTCCAGAATTGCTGCTTATATATTATCTCCATCCAATTTCTATGAGCTTGAAATATTTTGTGAATAAAAAGGGGAAATAAACATCTGTCTCTCTATAAACACAGGTGGTAGAGACATACTAAAACGGTAGTTCTACAAAGCACTGTATCAGGATGGCTAATACTTTTTATTTGCCTAGAAAAACAAAGTATTCCACCACTTACAAAAAGTCTTTACATGAAATCTGAATGAACAATGGTATCAGAAGCTCAAAAAGCACCAGAATTATTTTGTAAAGAAAGGTTTCTATATCACTCTTTCAGCTGAATTGAGGAACAGAGCAAGGATCTCCAAGATACAAAGAGGGGTCTTAGCATTTTCAGTGACTGCTGGTTATATTGAGTATGGAGCCCATTTATTAACTGATTTAGTATCCTGAATGTGGATTTTATTACAACCTGTGACTTGCTCTGCAACCCATCTCTCCACATTATTAAAGGAAAGAAACAACCATCTAAGCAGATGGGGGAGTCCCTGGTCAAAAGGATGGAAAAGACAGGAGAACACTTTAATTTATTAGCCAAAGCTGTGTTTTTTTTTCATATTTTTTTATAGAAGACTGAGAGTAAATTTACAATTCAATTCAATTCAGTTTATTTATTTAGCTCCAATTCACAACACGTCATCTGAAGACACTTCACAGTTCACCAGATCATACAGTGAAATTGATTCAAAGTTTTCTATCTAAGGAAAACCAGTTGATTGCGTCGACTCATTGACTCGAATGCAATCCCTCACACTAAGCATGCTTGTAGCGACAGTGGAGAGGAAAAACTCTCTTTAACTTCAACTTTTAAGGAAAATTTTAAAATCACATATATCTTTTTAAATAAGGAAGAAGTTATTATAGATTTGTCAAAAGAAGGACATTTTACCTTAACCAAATTTGGTTTAGTTGTTCTGTTTTTTCACTATTAAATTTAAAAATGTTAGCAGACAACCCTGACTCAATTTTACACATTTAGTAAAGGAGAGCCTTTAGGGTCAAACAGTTCTGCTGGGTTGAGCGTTATCATCATATGATAAAAAAATGTATGCTTTATTTCTTAAATATGGGACCAGGAGTCAGAGCCCAGAGGAACACCACTGATGATGGGTAAAGCTTGGAATGTAACCTGTACCTACTGATTACATTCTGAGAGGCCCATTGTAAACAGAAATTTGAAGAAAGCCAGGGATACCTGACAGCAAAATTTAAAATAAGCCTTTTACCTATTTATTTATTTAATAAAAAACAGCTCCATGACAATCAGTATCAGGTAGTGCCTTTTACAGACAACATACTGGAAAAGTTGGCAGGTCAGATGATATTGGTTTCATCATATGATCAAAAAAAACAGTTTTCAATTCTCAGGTTTAGTTGAAAAGCGAAGAGTCAGGTGATTCAGCATCAACACATTTAAAAGTTTTCCTCTTAGGCCAGACACTGAGATCAAACAGCATTTCATACTGCGCTCAAAATTACTGCCACATGTGTAAGCAGAGGAACTTTTATTGGAAAAGAAAGACAAATCAGATTTAGTGACTCACTCAGACAAAGCCTGGTCCTTATAACAATAAACACAACACACACATGAAGGAAAGTTTAGGGCATAAGAAAAAGATCTCTAATAAAAAAAAATTTCATTAATGATTTCTTTACTCTAAGAAGAGACATACCTGGTAGCATTTCCCTATCCTGAACCAGGATTCTAAGAGGCGCCTGCAGGGCATCAGCCCCCGATTGTACCACGTCCTTAGCGTCTCATGTGCCAGGCTCCAGACAAGCTGGCTGCCTGACGCTACCAGGTCTTCCAGTCCACGTATGATGCGCACAGCCATGCTTGCCTAAAGGTTCCTATTCTACTACTTCTACCTCTAGTAATAAGACTGCATATCCTCAGGAACAAGTCAAACAACTGGTCTACAGACCACTTTTTTTTCCTTTAAAGCAACAAGCTGTGAAGAGCATCTACACTCCAGCACAAACACTGAACCACTCTTTCTCCCAAGCTGATGTAATGTCAGTGTGAGTCGGCGCTCTGGAGAGGCTGGAGCGGAGTAGTGTGCCTAAGGCTGGGTCCTGGGCCCTGGTCCAAAACAGTGCCTCAGAGTGCAGGGGAGGGCAGGACAGAACCAAGAGGTCCCTGCCGCAAAGGCTCCATCTGCCCCTCCACATAAAAAAACTGTACACAAACAGCATCCACACAAAAACAAACCTTTAGACTTCTTAATCCACACACTTGGATTGCCAGGGTGTTGATAAATTACATTTCTGTAAATGCAAAACAACTTTTAATCACATTTTCCACATGCTTAAATATCATTGTCTGCAGAGGGTGTGGGACCAATTTCCTGAGCAGACCAGACATTCCCACACATTGTGTCTTGCAGCAGCATTAAAAATAATCAGTTATGTCTGAGCCAGCGAATACAGCTGACATGGCAGAAATAAAAGTGAAACTACGAGGCAATAAACAAACATCTGGGAGCTCTGATTTAAAAAACAAAAAATATCACAATTGGACGTCTTCCTCTGCAAAGCTGCATCTCATAAGAAAATGTGTTATGAACCTAATTTAGCTAAAACAAACGTATTTAAACACTGAAAAAAATTATGGAAGAGCTCATCCGGAAATTGGAAATTTTCAAATTTGTTTATGTGATCCTCAGACTCAAA